TGATTGGTTTTGTATCTCATATCACGTTCTGCCTTTTTTTTATTTTTAATCATTTGAATTCTTTGGAATGGTAGGTTTCTTTCATTTGGTGGTTCCGTTCCTTACAGACCTGTGGAAGATCTTGCATTTGCCGTGGCACGCTTTTTCCAGCGAGGAGGAACATTTCAAAATTACTATATGGTAATGCAAATGGCTTACGTTATATGATACTTCAAGAGAAAACAAAAAAGATCAACCCTCACTAAGAGGAAATGAGCTGATAATGTCACCATTTTGATTGCTTGCTTTGAAACAGTACCATGGAGGGACCAACTTTGACCGAACTTCTGGTGGCCCTTTCATTGCTACAAGTTACGATTATGATGCACCAATTGATGAGTATGGTATGCTTTCTTTCAACCTTTATATTCCATATGCATTGAAGAAGATAAATAAACAGTACTGTATGCTCAGTTTATTAGTTGTTTACATATGACAACTTACACTTGACAGTTTTGTGCGGGTTTTTCAAAATCTTTATTGTATGTTGCAGGAATTATTAGACAGCCTAAGTGGGGCCACCTTAAAGATGTTCATAAAGCCATAAAGCTTTGTGAAGAAGCATTAGTAGCTACTGATCCAACAATTACATCCCTCGGTCCAAACCTAGAGGTATAACTATTAAGTGTTTTGTATTAAAAATTTTGGTCCATCTAAAGCATATTTCTCGATGTCTTAGGATAGAATTTCTGGATAGGATAAACTTATTATGGGTCTGAAATTCTCCTAGTTTATCAAATTTGAGAGTTTCTTTCCCTGGAAAATGCCCTGCATAGAGTGGAATTTTGACATACGGTCAGTACAATGGGTCATTGTTGTAGATTTCTCTGGTTACCTCCTTTGCAATTTCTTCAGTGATGCTTTTTATTGTTTGCGGTAAAATGCTGCTTAATGGTGCTGTCTGTTTATCTTTCTGCATTACCTTCTATGTTTTATGTGCTTTATGAGTTAGTCTCTCCATAATGTATCTTTTATTATCTAAACCCCAGGCTGCAGTTTACAAGACAGGATCTGTATGTGCGGCCTTCCTTGCCAATGTGGGCACCACATCTGATGTAACAGTCAATTTCAGTGGCAATTCATATCACTTGCCTGCATGGTCTGTGAGCATCTTACCAGACTGCAAGAATGTAGTGCTTAATACTGCAAAGGTTTGACTCACCAACTTCAGATCATGTTTATGTGGTTTCACTAATGGGTGGTTCCTGGACAATAAATGCGGTGTTAGTTGTTGTCTCAGTAAAAAATGGATAGTTTAATTGAGTGGAGTTAATTTGAAAGTGTAATTAACATTTGTTTTGTGATTTATCTTTCTAGTCAAGATCTTTTCTGTTATTTTCTAGTCCAAGAAGTACGGAGCATGTAGTAAAATAACATTTTTGTCTGGCAGATTAATTCTGCATCTGCAATTTCAAGCTTCACAGCTGAGTCTTCAAAAGAAGGTATTGGTTCTTTAGAAGCTTCTAGTTCAGGATGGAGTTGGATAAGTGAACCAGTGGGTATTTCAAAGGCCAATGCATTCTCACAAATTGGATTACTGGAGCAAATAAATACAACAGCTGATAAAAGTGATTACTTGTGGTACTCGTTAAGGTAGATATAGCCATCCAAGGTTGAAATATATTTAGTCTGACCTATAATTCTTTGCTCCTTTATAACATGTTTCTTGTGGTTTTTTTAAAGCATTGATCTCAAGGATGATGCTGGTTCCCAAGCTGTCCTTCACATTGAATCACTTGGTCATTCCCTTCATGCTTTCATCAATGGGAAGCTTGCAGGTAAATAGAAAAATAAAGCAATGACAACTGATCATATCTCTGAATAATTTTGCATCTCCACATGTTCTTCCTAAATATTCATGTGTTCCTATGTTTTATGCATTTGTGTGTCCTTGTATAGATCACGCAGATAAAAATCAAATCACCAAAATTACATGGAACATTTAGTACTTGCCTCGTGTGTAGAAAAGGAAACACAGTTCTAATAGAATTGTAATTTTGGGCACCGCTTGTCATGAAAATTTTGAATCGCTTTAAAGATGTGGGAAAATAAAATCAAGGTTAATTTGAAATCAAGTAAGAACATAAGATCAGTTACAGTCACTCAGAGTTCATTCTTTAAATTAAGCTCTTGAATTGACTAAAATTATTATGAAAAAATTATCAGGGAGTCAAGCAGGCAACAGTGGCAAATCTAAGCTCAACGTGGACATCCCTGTCACACTAGTGGCTGGAAAGAATACAATTGATCTCCTGAGTTTAACTGTGGGCCTTCAGGTTCAGCTTTTCTGACTATAGTTTATATAAGCATTTATAAAAGAGGAATTGTTGTTTATAGTATGCAATTATGCATTGGCTTGTTGGTTTCTATTCCACATGATGTAGCTTACTCAACCAGTGGTTTATCTCATTACTAAATTGGCTAATTGAACCATATACGCATCAGAACTATGGAGCATTTTTTGACACATGGGGAGCGGGGATCACTGGTCCAGTGATATTGAAAGGTTTGAAGAATGGCAACACTCTCGATCTCGCCTCTGAGAAGTGGACATATCAGGTAAGCCTTTGCTTTGGTTAAAGACTACTCGTTCTCCTTTCTATAACTTCATCAAGTAAGCACTGATAAGGTTCATGCAATACTTAAATTTATCCAAAACGTTTATGTCTATGTCACATTGATTTTCTCTTTTGCCACCTGTGATTTTATAAATCAGTAAGTTCATATGCAAAAAGAAACCAAGTATAGATTCTTTATTTCAAGAACCTGAAGATTTAGAAATTACGTCAATTAAATTTCCATATTTCCTTTTTGGTTAAGTCATAGAACGCGGTCTTAATTTTCTTGATACAGGTTGGCCTCAAAGGTGAAGAATTAGGTCTGTCTAGTGGAAGTTCTGGACAGTGGAATTCACAATCTACCCTTCCTAAGAACCAACCACTGACTTGGTACAAGGTAACCTTATTTTCGTTTTCAGCAGTGTCTACAACTGTTATCATCAAGTTGCGATGGTACATAACAATTAAAATTAAGGGAATGCCACTGTAGGAAAATATTTGCTACTAACTAATGTAGTACATGTTGGATTAGACAAGCATTGCTGCTCCATCTGGCAATAACCCAGTTGCAATTGACTTCACTGGGATGGGAAAAGGTGAGGCTTGGGTGAATGGACAAAGCATTGGGAGATACTGGCCTACATATGTCTCTTCAAATGCTGGTTGCACGGACTCATGCAATTATAGAGGACACTATGACGCATCCAAATGTCGCAAGAATTGTGGGAAACCATCACAGTCATTGTAAGTGTTAGATATCATAAATGAGAGAAGTTGACAAATAAGAATAATCTTGAGTTTATGATGTCACTGAGACACTAATCCTGCAGATACCATGTACCGCGGTCATGGTTGAAACCAGATGGAAACACACTTGTATTGTTTGAGGAAAGTGGTGGTGATCCAACACAAATATCTTTTGCTACAAAACAGATAGAAAGTTTGTGTGCACATGTATCTGATTCTCACCCACCACCTGTAGAATTGTGGAACTCAGATACAGAATCAGGAAGAAAAGTAGGGCCTGTACTGTCACTCAAGTGCCCTCATCATAACCAGGTCATCTCTTCCATTAAATTTGCAAGCTATGGAACACCCCTTGGAACCTGTGGAAACTTCTACCATGGACGCTGCAGCAGCAACAAGGCTCTATCCATTGTGCAGAAGGTGTTATCTAGCTTCCTCCTTCCCCAGTTACTTTGATATGTTTCACTTCGGTTTAAGCTAACTCAAATGATCTTAAAACAGGCCTGCATTGGATCAAGCAGATGTAGTGTTGGTGTATCAACTGACAAATTTGGAGACCCTTGTAGAGGAGTGGCAAAGAGTTTAGCTGTTGAAGCTACTTGTGCATAGACAAACATGTTGCTTCAAGAGTACTTCCCAAGTGCTTCAAACTCTTGGTTGAAATGCTTCCTTCTATGCCAAAGTAGAATTGTACTCTAGAAATATCCAGGAAAAAATTGTCAATTGAAGCAATCTAGTCTCACTTGCAATAAAAGAAAAGTCTTAGGCTGATGTAAGAATCGTGATAAATGGTATTTTTATTTTTTGTTTTTAACTGAAAAGAATGGTTGGTTCCAAACTTGCAAGATAACGTTCTCCCAACTCTTGTATTGATTGAGGTTATTGTATGGTAAAATTTGACTCAATTGGAAAAGGATGTAAAGCTTCCTAAATTCATAGAGTTTGATCAATACGAATCAACCCAATGCTTCTCCAAGTGCTACTTCGTAAATCAATTCAACATTTAATGTGTCATCAAGAAATTGCGAGCCTTTTCAGACAAATTGAAATTTCCATTATTGAGGAATAACGGCAAAACTTTAGTGCATGAGACCACTATAAGATTTTGAGAAAGTTGTTACCAATTTTCCATGGGAAACATTGTGGTAGGCCCTGCGTTTGTCTTGGATAGGGGTTACAAATACCCCGCAAAGCAGAAATCGAATTACACAGCATGTCAACAATTCATTCATGAAGACTATGTCTTCTTTGTCATGATTGATATCAGTATTGAGCAAATGGTTGAGAGAACATCGAATTTTTTATGCCACAACGTCAATAAATTTAAGGTTTTGATATGATTCCTGCATAACAAACTTAACAAATAGTTGAAACTTCGCTTATTATTAGATAACAAATAATATCTTAGCATCAACTTTTTAAAACCAAACTTTGATTATAAAACATGAAAAGGTTACTAAAACTAATCACCCTAACAAAAACTTTTTGATTTCTGTAATTGAACGATCCTATTCCAGCATTTACTAAAACAACAGATTTAACAAAAGATTTTATTTCTATTTCATTAATATTAAGTATACGAACAATGAATTATATAATAATGTATTAATATTTTATTTTAGCTATAAAATGGCATTTATAGGGAGTGAGTCTAATAATGAGATATCAGGGTAATCGTACGCTAGAAACAGTTATACAATTTGTATTAATAGTTTGAAAATGAGCGATCCCAACGTGGCCAACCTGTTACCATTGTTCGATTCCTCCTAAAAATTGAACTTTTATAGAATCTTTTTTTTTTTAATTTCTATGCAACCGCTCGGTTTTTTCAGCTTCGCCCTTCCACATTTCGCCGTATTATTTTGGTCTCTCTCTCTCTCTCTCGTTCCTTAGCAATTGATTTCTTCCACCTAGGGTTTTTCTGCATTCCCATTCCTCCTTCCAACGCTTTTTCCTCCCCGTTCGCAATCGCAATTGCAATTGGGTTTTCGTTTCCTTCCATCGGCTTCCGGGGTCTCGCTTGAATTTTGGAATTAGGGTTCCAAGTCTTACTCCAAAGGCCATCAATTCGTGCTGGAATTTCTGGCTTTTGGAGCCGCAGAGATAGGGTTCTTCCATTTTCTGATTTTTCCCCTTGAAAAAAAAAAGGAGGTAAATTGCTGAGTTTTCTATTATAATATTCTCTGTTGTTGACGTTTCTCTTTGATGGCGTCTGAAGCAGGTGTTCTATCTGCAACTTTGTCTATTTTCTCTTTTTCCCCAATGTTCAATATTATTTAAATAGAGGGTAACTTTTATTTTAGTTTTACCTTTTAATTTTTAATTTTTAATCTTTTCCTGTTCCTGTTTATGCAAAAGGTCAACGAATTATTGGTGGTGAGTTGTGGGCTGAGCCTGCAACATTTGTTATAAACTGGAGTTATCACAATGTTGGGTGTGAATCGTAGTGGGTTTAATTTCTCTAGGCGTTTTCTGCATCTAGCTGAGTGGCATCCTTTAGAATAGCAATGTTAAAGAGGGCTTGAGGCCCTTATCTTCCTCTCGTATCAGGTAATCTTGTTTCGTGCGTAATCCATGCAGTTTTGGCTTTTCAACCATTTGATGAGAAAGAAAACAATTTGCAGGGTCAGCAGAGAGAGAACTTAGTTATTAGGGCATTTGCTTTGGCCATTTGAGGTGAGTCAGGTTGATGCTGTGATGGGAGAATATAGGAGTTTTTCATTTTCCAAGATGATTGGCTGCTGGGGTTGCTTCGGCTTCATTAAAAAAACAAAACGACGAGGGGCTAAACGTAGCATCAGCAATTTTCTGTCCCAGGGGCTATTATTGGATGGAGAAACTGAAGGTGATGAGACCTCGTATAGTGAGGGTACAAGTAACACCGCCAGTGGAGATGAAAATGAGATGCTAACTCAACACAACCGTTCCAAGGAAATCTTGAACTTTAGAGCAGAAAATGGCATGATTTGTAGGCCGTTTCCTGTCAAGGAAACTTACAAACTTGTTCGCTCAGAGGTACTGTAGGAGTAGCTTTTTTGTTTTTGCTATAAAGTTTCGTTCAGTTTGTAATGAAATGTCAAGACCTGGTTGGCTAGTTTCGGTATGCATGTGATCGTGAGTTCATTATTGGTGAAAACTGAAATTATTGTATTTTGATAACTTTATGGTATCCAGACTTCCTATTATTGCTTTGTTCTATGTTACTTCACTTGCAACCATAAATTTTAAGTGTTAGTTTTGGTGTTGACTTGCTTGTCTTTTAAGTGTGTCTAAGCCTATCTGAATGGTTATTTGTATTCAGGCAAAACCTCTTTATTGTAATAATGGGTTTTTTTTTTAATATTTTAATAACAACCTTCATTTGAACTTTTTCATCCCCTCAGGATGAAAATGGGAACAAGATGATAAATGAGTACATTCGAGAGTATAAAATTGGTTCTGGAAGCTATGGCAAAGTGGTAAGCAGTGTTCGTGAAATTATGCTTTCTCTGTTCTCAATGGATCCGCTTTCCTGAGCCCCTTTCCTGATATGCATTGCAGGCTCTTTATCGAAGTTCTGTCGATGAAAAGCATTATGCAATTAAGGTAAGGACACATTTTGGTGTGAGCTGGCAGATTACTTCTTAATAGCAGCATTTGTAACAGGGCAGTAGTCACTGTTCCTGATAATTTGAATGTGTGACATGAGAGGAGTGTTAGACTAGCTAGTGTGACTGAGAAATTGCCAACTGTTTTACATTGGGAGACTGAAAAGAACATAAAAACTAATCAAAGGCTCACTGCGAGGTGCATGTGTGCTATGTTATTGTCACAAGATAGGGCTCAGCTGGTCATTTACTGAGGTTAACTCTTTTGAACCGCAGGCCTTTCATAAGTCTCATTTACAGAAGCTTCGAGTTGCACCTTCTGAGACTGCCATGACTGATGTTCTACGTGAGGTATAATTTCTTTCTATTTTATGCTTCTTTTGGATGAACAATATAGGCATTTCAAGGTCAGGTTTCATTTGGCAGTTTTTATATCCACTGACAGTCTATGAAACTACTACTTAATTTGCATCTCCAAGATGTTTACTGTTCCTTTGGAATATATTGTCATCTGCAATTCTTTTTATACCATCGCATGCATATAGGTCAGTTTTAGAAAATAGAAATATTTTTTTGCCAATGTTTTGCAATCTATTATGACTTTTTTTTTTTTCTTATGCCACGGGTCTATGATTGATTTCGTGTCCTAGGTTGTTCATTTTGTGAGTTATTACGTTGTTTAACTTGTTTTTTTGCTGTCCCTGCAGTATTTTTATTAGATACAAATACTTTATTTTCAGGTACTTATAATGAAAATGCTGGAACATCCTAATATAGTCAATCTAATTGAGGTGATTGATGACCCAGAGTCGGATGACTTCTACATGGGTACTCATGGCTAGCTGCTTCTTGGTTTTGTTATTTTGTGATGACTGCTTATCCTGAAATTGCTATATATGTATTTGAGCCTCCAGTTTGAATAAGAATCTTCAGTAAGTTCTTTTGCTTAACTGCTAATGTTTACTTCTTCAGTACTTGAATATGTGGAAGGCAAATGGGTTTGTGAGGGTTCAGGTCGTCCTTGTGCATTAGGTGAAGAGACTGCTAGGAAATACTTGCGTGATATAGTCTCGGGATTAACCTATCTTCATGCTCATGTATTGTCTCTCAACCAATCTTTTTTGCGATTAATGTTGTCTCAGTCCTCTCTCACACCCATGCACACACGCGCCTATAGTTTTCATAGTTATTGTAGTTGATTTATTTCACATTTTAATGAATTGAATAACCAAAGTAGACACTGAAACAATTTTTTGCTTGTGTAACTTGTAGGTTAATGTGCACTATCCTTTGCACTCTTATGACTAGTTTTGTTTGTCTATATGCAGTTGTTAATATTTATGGTATATGTCTAAAGTTGTCTGAAGTACGTTTTTGTATATCAAGGAAATACATGATAGTAGTTATGCATGCTTTAAAAACTTTATAAACTACATATCATTTATTATAGATGCCCAGGTCATTCATGTTACATTCTTTAAAATTGTTTGACTATGACACTGATGATTCTATATTCATTTGTTTGAAAGCAGAATATAGTGCATGGAGATATAAAACCTGACAATCTGTTGATTACTCGTCATGGCACAGTAAAGATAGGGGATTTCAGTGTCAGCCAGGCCTTTGAGGTAATGGAATTACTGAACTTAGTGGTACTTAAATGAGATTAGAGATAGTGAGTTTACTTTGAGCCTCTGGAATTATCTTTTGTGTGAAAATTGATATGTACAGCATGGCAATCATGGTAAATTTTTCCTGTGTGAAACTGAAACATGATTGGTTGAAAAATATGAAAGCTGGTGGATGTATCTTGTCATTACTTCACTTGAAAGTTGAAAGTCATTAATGCTTTAATTACATAATTTATATAATCCTCTTGTTAATATTTGCTTGATCATGCTAATATCATGTCTGTGCAAATTCACGCGATTCTAACTTCACCATGACACGGTAAATTTGAATTTGACTATAAACACATAAAATTTTTCTTCTAACAAATGGTATAAAAGTTATAATAGAAGAATTTAGCTAATCCAAGGGTGGTGGTAAAGGCCTAGGAAGTTGGGATTTTTCCTCAAAATGATTAGTCAATCATAGGGTTTATATTTTGATCTAATTAATGTTTTCTACATCCCCGAGTACATTTACTTACCCCTTCCACATTTCTTCCTGTGATATATTGGAGATATTACATTACATGTGTACTAAGATATATCCAAGCAACTAATATGGAATTGATACTTTGGTTTCATGTTGCAGGATGGTAATGATGAACTTCGTCGATCACCTGGAACCCCTGTTTTCACTGCACCAGAGTGTTGTTTAGGTTACAGATTTCTTTTCAAGCTTGCAAAATATTTTGCTCCATGGACTCTATGAAAGTCCACATTCTCACTACAGTTTTGTTTGTTGACATCACTCAGGCCTTACTTATCATGGTAAAGCTTCAGACACGTGGGCGGTAGGAGTTACTTTGTACTGTATGATATTGGGTGAATACCCATTTCTCGGTGACACACTTCAAGACACTTATGACAAAGTAAGTCATATATCAACTTCTTACTCTAATAATATTATGTAAAATTCATGTTATGATGTTTTTAGCCTATACCACAGAAATCTGAGCATGCTGTTTTCTTCCTTACCCAGATAGTGAATGATCCTTTAGTTCTTCCAGATGACATTAACCCCCAGTTGAAGAACTTGATAGAAGGATTACTTTGCAAAGGTATATGGTATTCAACTTTTCCTGGACATAACTATATTCCATTTCAATTTGTTATGTTTTGCTCTTCCTTTCCCTGCTCACAAATTTCTGTCATCCTAATTTTAGTTTGGAGGCCCATCATTTTATTGTTCTCAATTGAACTTTGTGTTCTGCAGAGCCAGAACTACGGATGACATTGGGCGATGTTGCTGAGCATAAATGGATTATTGGAAATGATGGGCTAATTCCTGATTACTTGTGTTGGTGCAAACGCAAGAGCCTGGAGAGGGAAGATTTTGATGGGAGCAATAATGCTTGCTTGACCCATACTAAATGATTAAAAAATTGGACTTCTTTATGTACACTGGAAAGGCCCATTAATTTTTGACCCCAAGGAGGTGATATGTTATGATTTCAGAGGGAGTCTTGAAAGAAAAAATCTTTGGAATTTAAGAACATACGGTTCATGTTGCCGACCATAAGTAGCCAATTCATGTTTATGTTGTGAAACATTTGGTGTATACGGACTTTAAGAGGTCTTGTATACGGCTCTTTCGCATAGAATGAATGAGTTTTTTTTTGCTCAAGCACGTGCTGAATTGTGTTCGATTCATACTTTATATACATTCCGTGAAGTGTTTTGTTATATGCTTTTGCTTAGAATTCAAAGAATGTTTGCTGACTGAACAATCCACGCGAAGCTTGATCTTAGGCTTTGAATATCTAATTCATGAAGCTTTTAAGGTCTTTTTCATGCACCGTATTCTTGCCAAAACTCAACGGGTCCAAGTGCTGTTTCACCCAACTGTATAGTTTTCCAATATATCGATAATAACTAAGCATGGCAATGAGCATAAGCTACTTTTTTTCAATGCTAAATTCTGACATGGGCATTGCAACTGGCATTGTACTTGCTTTTAATCTGCTTTTAGATGAGAACCGAGAATTTCCAACTCAAAAAGCTATTGCAAGTATTATAATAATGGGATAAAGTTCTTATTCGTTGCATCAGTTCGGTTCTCGTTGTCGTAAACGCGTAGTACTCTTCAGCAAAAGTCTCGTTCATCCACGGAAACAGACAAAAATAGAGGCATTTTTTGTCAGTATTGTCATCACACCATTGTTTTCAGATTTAGGTTTTAACTATTTGACTTGCAATTTCTTTTTTTTTTTTTTTGGTCAATTTCATGATCTTCAACTATAACTAACAATTCCAATTCTCCACGCCTCTCTCTAGCCAGTAACAAGCCGGAGCCGGTGCATGAAGCAAATGGGTATCATCTAAGAAAATTATTATTTAGTAGGATCTACCATTTGATGCATATCTTCAATGCATACAGCAAAGTGTAAGGAATAAAAGAAACGATAGAATGGAATTAAATAAAAGCTGTTTAGATTGATGGAAGAATAGGGGGAAATTTCAGAAATAATGTATGTATGTGAGTGATGTTGTAGCGATAAAGTGAAAGTACATTATAAAAGGAATCATGTCAACCAGTCACTGGCTGACATGACTTGTGTCAGCCCACCAACTCTCTCTGAACATAGTTTGCATCAAATTAATATTATGATTAAATTTTACTAAATTAAATATATTATAAATGACAACTCATTTGTTTTTTTTAACAATTAAAGTATTCTAATGTTTGTTATTATAGTCTTTTAAAAATAAATAAGAAATATATTAACAACCCTTATACACCGTGGCATGTAAATTCATTTTTAGAAAATAAAATTTGTCAACTATAGTCAGTGGATTTCAATTGACTATTCATCAAATCTCGGACTCTCGGTGGCTCCTCACTTATGATCCAGCTGGGAAATTGAATCCCGAAATTCAGGTGTTTTTCCTTCATTTATTTAATTATTTATTGTATTTTTATGTAAAAGAACATTTGAATATTAGTAAACAATGGTTACGATTGCAGCTACAAGTACGATATTTAAGAGCTGTTACAGTTCCACTACATAATACTCGACATTTGGTGCAGCAGAGCAAGTTTTTGACTTTGTTTATTAGAAAGAATAAAGTTGTTCTATGCAGGAGTGACGTTGATATGAAAACGAAACTTGAACAAAATCGACGGGATATGAACATCAAACATGTGGTCTGTAATGTTCTCATTAGAATTAGTACAATAAATGATAGGGTTTTTGTTTTTACAACACATTATGACGGATAATCTAGCATATAAACCTTATGGATCATTAAGGACTTGTTTGCTTTATGGTTAAAGATTAATTCTTGCATTTTTAAATATAAAATATATATTTTAATAAAATATGTTTTAGATTAAAAATGTTTAACAAGTTAAAATAGTTTTATTTAACTTTAACTTGTATGAGTAATAAACTTGTGTTTGGTTTTAGGGTTTTAACTTTATGTTTGCACGTTTTTCAATGCATCTAATAGGAGAAGCGCGAATATGTTTTGTAGAAAAGAGGTACCTTTAGATGGTTTGAGACAAAAACCAACACACTAAATTTTTGCCAGGATCTTTAAATAAACGTTTGTTTTTGTAACTATAAAGCATTTGATTTAGTTGTCTTTAAAATCTAAAACCATAATCCAAACAAAGCTAATAAGTATTTTTAAGATAATGATTAAGAAATCAAAAATACAAATTTTTAACATATTCCAACTATATTATGAGAGAAAGAAAAAACTAAACAATGTAAAGTATTTTTAACACATTTTATAATTGCAAATGAAACAACCCCCCCCCCCCCCCATCCCAACCCACACAATGCTCAACAATGAACTTGTTTTTTAAAAATATTAATTATAGTCAGTTGTTGTATCGCCATCATAGCTGGATATGCATTATATGGGAATGAATTAATAAAATGTTCCATTGTCCTTTAAAATAAGAGGGAGGACATAATACTTGAACATTTTAAAAAGTTTAATTGGAGTTTGATGGATGATTTCACTCTTACTTGCGTTTTCAGAATCAGATAGTGGCATTGCAGAAAAACTATAAGGCTTTTGAGGGTCGACAAGTGGCATAATGAAGGCTATATCCCGTTAGGTTTTCTTCTTTTTGGTTCGCATTCACATGGATGATGGCTCTTTATCGGGATAAAGAAAACGTATTAGATTCTCTTCCACCTTCTCCTGTTGCTGTTAGTTTTACTTATTCCTCCCTTTCAAACAAATATCATCATTCTACATAATAGGGATCCATCTTTACTATAAAATCTTCACTTCATCCAAATTTATATCTTTCTGCCGTACTTATGCTTAGTTTTTTAATTAACATACTCATCATGCCACTCAGATCGATAGAATGTTTGGTTTCACTTTTAGTTCTAATTTTTCTGTAAGTTTACATTCATAAAATTTTTAAACTATTTCTAAACATATATTACATTTGCTCAACACGTAAGTTCAATTTAAATAAGTTTATTTATAGGAAAAATTTAATTTAGTTGTCCTTATTCCCTTTTTAAAATATTTATAAAAAAATTATCTAAACTATCAAGACTAATAAAAAAATTATCTAAATCAAGTGGTTTGTTGTAGAGTATGAAGAAACATTGAAGGATTCAAAGTAGAGAGATGCAATCGATCGATCTCCAATCAGAAAGTTTCTGTCTGCATGATTATTGGGTAAATATGGTTCTGGAGCGTCTAATAGTCTTTTTAAGAAATTTTATATTGCAAAAGGAACGTATCACCATTCAAACACTTGTATGTTTTCCCTTTTTTCTGTCGATGTATAATTATGGATTACAAAAAGTTCTAATAAAATAGTAATTTTTATAAGATATTGAATGCAAATTGTATGTATAAAAAAAGCAATTAAAAAGTTAATTATACCATTTTACAGTATTCCCATTCCCAACAAAATCATTCCTGCATGTATAAAAATACTTATAATGTGATAAAATAGTTATTAGGTCAATTTCAATACATTTGAATAACTCGATCCTACGATAATGGTTCGGTATGCTGAAAAATGTACTTTAAGAATAACAATGATATTTATTCTTAAATTCACCTAAAAGAAAATCCAATAACAACAAAAATATGAGGATATGTTTGGATAAATGGCTTAAATAAACTTTTATTATATACAAATTTATATTATAAGTTAACTCATAAAATGTATTAAAGCAAATTAAAAAAAATTATAATTTATTACAAATATATGAAAAAAATTGTAAATAAATGTTGTAAACATTTACTAATTGATAAGAATATAAAATTATTTTATTTAAATTTTCTTAAAATATTTATTTATACATAAATTGTTTAATCAAATAAAAATATTTAGGATTGGTCATATTTTTAATTTCCATATTTTAGTATATGTGTAATGTTAGTATTTTAATTTTATTACTCGGATTTAGTCTTTTAATCATTTAAATTAATTTTATTAATCTAAATTTTTTTTCAAAAATTATTTAAAATATAATAAATATGCAATAAAAAATGTTAGTAACACAGTTTTTTAATACATTATTAGTTATTGTTTAAAATTTATTAAAAAATTTATAATTAAATTATTAATTTGATAGTTGTCTCTCATATTTTAAAATTTAATAAAATTTAATTAATAATTAAAAATATATTAAAATATATTTTTAGCATTTATCATGTGATATATTATTTATTGGTATAAACTAAAAATATATATAAATATTAGACAAATTACATTTATACTCTTTGCGTTTTAATAAAATTTAATTTGATACTTTTCTCCTTTCTTATATTATTTTAACCTCCCATGATATACATATAATTACATAAAAAAAAAAAAAAAGTTAGCGATGGTTTATGAAACTAAGATGAGTATTAGGTAAAATTTTGTTAAATCTCAAAGAGTGTGAATGTAATTTATCTTAAAACATTTGAATAAAAATATTAAATAAAATATAATAATATATTTTTTAATTATTTTACATACTTCTTTATTTGTAAATTTATATAAAATAATAACATATTACATATTACATACTTTGGGGTTGAGTAGCAACGAAAAAGCACTGATTGGGTACATCTGGGTCTACTGTAGCAAATGTGAGGCCGAGTTAAAAAAAAAAAAACAACATAAAGAGTGCAGTAGGAAGCAACTTCTTCAGTTTTTGTCTGAAAAGGTCAAAGAAACAATAAACGCCGCCAAATTGATGTTATCGTTAATGTCTTCACATCGCTCCCAGATAGCATTACAGCAGTCAACCTCATCCATATACTTTCTCTTTTTCTTTTTTTTTTTTCTTTCTTTCTTTTCGTTTTTGCTCTTAAACCATTTCTATTTTATTTTATAAAATAATCATATTACATATTAAATTTTTTGAGATAACATTTCATTTATTGTTTATATTTTTATTCTGTTTTCTAGTAGAAGAGAGGTGCAATAATGCAGGAGAAAACAGTGTTCTTAAACATTGTTTCAGCTATTTAATCATCGAAAGATATTAAAAGAGGTTAAATAACTTTATGATTTAGTCAAATATAGATTTTACCATCAAGCTTTTCAACATGAATGCACGTAAAAAATAAGCTATTAATTGGCCCAAAATCGTTTAATTTTATTATATACTTAAGTTTATTTAAATGGTATATTTTAATATTTTTACCTCGTTATTTGTATTTGCACATTAAAATTTAATTAATAAAATTATAAATAAAAATATTTTCAAAAAAATATTGGAAACAATTGTATTTAAATTAAATAAAATTAACAAAGTTATTTCTCAAATATTTAATATAATTGTTTTTATTGGAATTTAAATTTAAGATTATAAATTAGAATAATATTTTACCAATTGATTGAATGATTAGATAATAAATAATATTTTAAATATAAAAAATATTAGTTGGTATAATTCTCACATTTTTTCAAAAAGCTATCTATTATGCTTTAAATATGGAAATACTTACTCGGATTATAAAGAAATAAATAATGTAAAAGCAATAGAAAAAACATGAAAACTACTTCTTTAAAAAATATAATTGAACATTAAAACTATTGCTTCAATTATGAGAATAAAATATTCTCAATAAATTAGAAAGAAAAGGCACAAATTATCCTTTTCGAATTTCGAATTAATAAGTGCCACAATAATGTAAGCATAATTATAATTTTGGGGCTTCGTGTTTTACTTGGTTTTCTGGCGACCAGCATACTGTATTCTTATTTCCCATGCTATTTCAAATCAAATTGCAAAATCTATTAATTATTAAAGCCATGAGATGCCCAAAAGAAAATCTAACATATCACGCTTGTTCTCACTTAATTGGATAAGTTTATCATGTTTTAAATAATAATAATAATACTCTATTCTTGTTATTATAATTCTATGAAAATTGGATGGTAGCTTCTTGAGTATATTTTATTCTTAAATATCTCGCATGGTCTTTATTTTAGATAAAATATATAAAGTTGGATATATATTTAAATTCTTTTATATTATTAAGAAACATGGTATAATTATATTAAAAATATACTTTTTATTAAAATTATAATTAATTATGATAAATTATTATTTAATAAAAACATTTTTCTCTAATATAACGATACTTAACAATATAAAAGAATATAAAGAGAGGCCAAGTAAATCCAACACAATTGAGCCGAAGTTTGATCCAAGAGCGTATTACATTTACGAGTCTGCGATATTTGAGTACTCTATATGTTAGAATTAAAAGATTCTTAATACCTATTAATTCCTTTTACATTAGAGGTTTTAAATACTCAACAATTAAAAAAAATTGTTTTAAATTATTCACCTCAGAAACTATATTTGGATATCTTAATTATCATTCATCTGTATTCAAGTCCCACAAATAAAATGCATTTAAAGTCATCGAGTCCGCATATTCAATATTTTGTATAAGAATTTGCACAAAATATATATTTAAAAAATTGAAATATATTTTTAGTTTATATAAATTTTTTTAATTTTTTTAATTAATCTCTATGTTCATACGTATGAAGCTGTTGATTTAAGGTTAACTTCCAAGTAATGAGAAATTTTTTATTTCTATTTGCAGTTTAAATTCAAATTAAACAACGAAATTTCTATTGATCAAAAGGAAGAAAACAAATCAAAACTTTCTTGAGATCTCAACAAAAAAGTGAACAAAACTGTATTTCTAAGTTATGGAAATACATCAAAATATATACATATTTAGTCGGCTCCAATGACCAATTCCTATCAAAGTTTATTTCTTTACTAAAAAAGGTGGCAACTTGGGGTTCATTTTACAAAGACCTAAACATATTAAGTTTTCTATTTTCTGAAAAGGAAAACAAGTTTAGAGAAAGACATTTTGGATATCTATTTGGGGTGGCAAAGGAATGGAGACTCGATCTATTGTCCAAAGAGGAAGAAATATGGATATCGACAAGTCAAAATTTGGGTGCTGATTAGATTAGATCGAGTTTTCATTCTTAATCTTTTTTTTCCCACGTTAATACTCCCTTGTCCCTATCCTAGTTTCATGATTTATCAAAGAGCTGTTTTTTTTTTTTTTTTAACTTGAATCCCATATGTTATACCCCAGTTCCTAATTACAATGCTATTTAATAGAAGATAGGTAAATAATATTTATGTTTAAATTAGATTATCTTTAATTTTGAAAATTACACTTCTATAAACATGATTTATAATTTATTTTATTTAATATAGACAAGTTTCTTAGTGATGATACTAATAATTCTAAATAAAACACTAATGTTTTTCTACAGATGTTATTGATGACTTTTTTAAACATCATATTATTAGCGTCAGGACTTCAGAATATGAAATGAATTTTAAACATTCGTTTTTATTTTATCTTTAAATTAAGTTTCAAAATCAATAACAAAAATTTAAGACTAACCATTAATAAAGCAATGAAACACAACTTATAATCAGATAAAAAAATATTAAAAATTCTGATATTTTTTATATAATAACTATTTTTAAAATTTGTTTCATTAGTCAATGGGTCCTTAAAGATTGTTTATTTTGAATATAGTCAATATTTTTTGATTATTTTTTCTATTAAATCTAAGACACTTCTTTTTATAACTCAAAAACTTTTTTTATAGATACCTAATAGCTATAAAAATATAACTGGACATGAGCTCAAACATTACACTTTCCATTTCCACTCTTGATTCCAAACTAATCAGTAAAAAACTGGCCATTGTCTAGTCTATTCACATGATGTCTACGATATGTTAATATTAATTGCCGTAATATGATAATTGAACTAGCAATATTGGTGACGTTTCTTGTGGGTTAGTTCACTTATATGTTGTCCTACTAAGTACCAAACATGTAACGTTGGTGAAAGGACAAATGTTAGTGAAACAACAATTTAACCACTACGACCGCTGACTAGAGAAGGTTTTATGGTATTCATCAACAACACATGTTTTGAAATTTGAATCAAATCAAGCCCACTATTTCAGCAACTTCAACTATTGACCCAGTCAAGTTTCAGCTGCTTTACAAAGTTAACCAGGTCAAAATTGGGCAAAGTTTGTGAACCTAAATTCGGTCTTGAAAACCGTCCACTTCAATTTTAATTAGTACTACTATTAAGTTAATTTAATGTAGGTTAATGATCACGATCCATGATCAAAACAAATGAATCACGATCTTTATAGTTAAAATAAAATCACAGAGAATCTCAACTACAAAAATTGGTTTATTTTGTAACAAAATAATAACTTCACTACCATTAGATATCTAACTGTACCTTTCTCTTTTCGTTTTTTCTTTCTTTTTTTATTCCACGAGATCCTATTATAGCTTTATAAAAAGTATCTATATATCATATCATTAACTCAATTATAAAGGCTTACTTTTAATCCAGTCTTTACAACAGTACAAACAAATGAGTGTGTTCATTATCCTCATTTCTTACAATAACACATTTTCACTTGAGTAATTTTCAATATTGTAAGATTAATGTTAGCAAAATTATATTATATTAATTGCATTTATTTTGGTGTTTTTTTTTTTTATTTCATTCGATTTCATTGATTATTAATTTAAAGTTCTTAAAGATTGTTATTAAAAAATAATTTTTTTAAATTACTCAATAATTATGCATGTATTAATTTTTTTTAATATCTCCCTTTTATAATCATAATTCACTTTAAATACCCTTTGATATTCTTTATTTATTTTAACATAAATATACAAATTGACAAACATATAATATATTCTTTTTAAAAAACTTATACACCAATTTTTTTTGTCAAAAAAATAATTTTATTAACTGACTCAATGTGTGATTTGTCATGTATTTAAAACACTCACTTATTGTTGCACCGTGTATACTATATATATATATATATAATAAATTGTAATTTACATAATACAAAGTTATTTTTAAATTCACCATACATCTTAAATAAATACGAGTTAACTACAAAAAAAAAAAGGTAAATGTGTAATTTGTCTAACGCTCCTTTGATTTATAAATTAGAGACATGGATAGCAATTTAGCAAATGCTATTGTCCAAATGAAACTTGCTTAATTTATGAGGGAAGATTCTAATAATACTCAAGCTTAATTTCATGAAAAAAATAAAAATTAAAAACTTTAAAATGAGAAATGTTGAAGACCCTATAAGAAATCGTGAAAATGATAATTTATATATCTCAAACCAAAGATTAACTTCACACCTAAATAATAATTTGGGAAAACTCGTGAAGTCTAAAAAAAAAACATTAACATTATATATTCTTTTTCATTGTTAAATTTCTTATGCGTGAAGCTATTTCACACTGTCATTTAAAAAGGTTACATAATTTCTATATTTATATTTATTCTTTTCCACTCTTTTTTTTTTTTCTTTAAAGGATAGGATAAACATTGAACGAAAAAAGAGACAATCAAAGGGATAATATGGAATTACACGAAAAAGTGGGGCTACAAGGGCAAAGTAAAAACACGTTTGAGTTGGTGTATTTATAAGATGAAGAGGTCATAACTCACATAGTACCTTAGTCATTCCGTGTCCAAAGTTGCAAGTTATCTAAGCCCACTTTGTGTGTCTGTGTTTCACTCACCTCCTCTTTCCGGCAACATGCTTTGACGCCACCCACCTTAATTCTGTTCCTCCATTTCTGAGATCCACCCCTTTCTCTCCACTTCAAGGTACCTCCCTCTGCCGCATTTTTGTTTCCACTCATCCCCTATCTCAAAATCATTTTTTTATTTATAAAAAAAAAAAATTAGTTATAATGATTTTATTTGGATCCGAATCCGGCTACTGCTGCTTGAATTGGATCAGAGGACACCCTTTTGGTCAAATTTAATTTTTTAGCATGCTTTCACCGTTTCAATCAAAGGTTTTTTCATTTCTTATTCTTGTGAATTTTGCAGGTGGTTCTGTCTCCGAGGCTTGAAATCAGACAGAGTTTCAAATCCTGTCGGTGATTCATTTGGTATTGCACTCTTGTTTCTCTCTTTCTTAAAGATGTGATTTTTAAGTATAAGGCAATTGCATATTGTTAATTAATAGATGGAAAGAACAAATAGATAGACATTGGTGGCATGCTGATGCTGTAATGAATTTATTTTTTGAGGGTAGAGAAGGACATGAAGGAATTAATGGAATAATAAAAATAACAGTGGTTTTTGCTTCTGCCTTTGAAGGTTGTTTTGCCATCTGCTATGGTTTTGTTGGGATGCACTGAGGATTCCTTGTCATGACAAAGAAATTACGTTTAGATTGTTCTTTGCAGGAGGATGGAAAGAAAGTGAACAACTTTCTGAGAATGGATGGGAGGGAAGGAGTGAACGATGGTTTTTCTAGGCCTGGACCAAATGATTCGCTTCTCCCTCGTCTTATTGATGATGTTGCACTCAATTGTCTTGCTTGGGTCAGTGTATCCGATTATGGTTCGCTATCACGGATTAATAAAAGGTTCAAAAAACTGATTGAAAGTGGGGATCTATATAAGTTTAGGAAACAGTTGGGAGCTTTGGAGCATTTGGTTTATATGGTTTGTGATCCAAGAGGATGGGTGGCTTTTGACCCCAAGATAAAGAGGTGGATGGCATTACCTAAGATACCTTGTGATGAGTGCTTTAACCATGCAGACAAGGAGTCCTTGGCCGTGGGGTGCGAACTGTTAGTCTTTGGTCGGGAATTGATGGAGTTTGCTATTTGGAAGTATAGCATGATTTGTCGAGGTTGGGACAAGTGTCAGGAGATGAACCAACCTCGCTGTTTGTTTGGATCTAGTAGTCTTGGTTCAGTTGCTATTGTTGCTGGTGGAAGTGATAAATATGGAAATGTTCTGAAATCAGCTGAGTTGTATGACTCTTCATCAGGTACGTGGGAACTTTTGCCGAACATGCACACGCCACGTAGATTGTGCTCTGGTTTTTTTATGGACGGCAAATTCTATGTGATTGGTGGAATGTCAAGTACAACTGTTTCATTAACTTGCGGAGAGGAATACGATCTTAGGACAAGAAATTGGCGGAAAATAGAGGGCATGTATCCATATGTTAATGTGGGTGTTCAGGCACCTCCACTTGTGGCAGTTGTGGATAATCAGTTATATGCAGTTGAGCATCGAACTAACATGGTGAAGAAATATGACAAGGAAAAGAACACATGGAATGAATTGGGAAGGCTTCCAGTCCGGGCAGATTCGTCTAATGGCTGGGGCCTGGCATTCAAGGCTTGTGGAGAGCAACTTTTGGTTGTGGGTGGACAAAGGGGTCCAGAAGGTGAAGCTATTGTGCTAAATTCATGGTGTCCTAAGTCAGGGATTATGAATGGCACCATAGACTGGAAGGTGCTTGGTGTGAAAGAACATGTCGGGGTGTTCGTGTATAATTGTGCTGTTATGGGTTGTTGAGATAATTTTAGATGGACTCAACAGAAGATGCTGGTATTTACAATCTGACTTAGCCTTGAAGGGTGTTTCCATGTTCAATCTCCTCATTTACTAAGTTAATTTTTGCTGGGATAGTTTTACCTAGCTTCAAATTTGGTTTCTTTCTTTTAACATGGTTTATTTGGATGTATTTCTCACTATCATGGTTCATAATTCTAAATTGGTTTGAGATTACTGAGTAGGCTTACACATATATGTTCTGTTATCTATTTTAGCCAACTATGTAAAACCAATAAATGAAGGAATTTTCATTGTTTAATGCCCATTGCTTGCTGCTTCAACCATGTATATATCATGTTTGTCCAAATTTGTGTCCATTGTTCATGCTTAGGAAATATTGTGTTTGTGTGTTGAAAAGGAAAGGGTTCTCAAACTGTTCATCTAACTAGAGTTTTAAGAGTTGAGTTTCTGTGGGTAATCGTAGGCTTGTAGCAAATGTGCTCAGAGAAGTCAAATGATAGAGATTGATTCTAATATTTCTCTCACCAATCTATCATTGCATTTGGCTTGAAATTTTAATGTTATATTACAAGCACAGGTGAAAACAAAGTTACCAAGTTTTTTTAAGCCATTTTCTTGGTTTTATCTCTTTTATGCAATATGAAAACGAGGTCCCCTCAGGTCTATAATGTGTTTATAAACCTTGTCTATTCGTCCAGCTGTACTTGCTAGATTAAGGTCTAGTTTTCATCTTCCTATTTTATGTGTGGTGTACACTTTATCAACAATATGACCTTGAAATGATTTCTCTTATTTAGTCAGGAAGATTAACTGGGACCATGCTTCATTACTCTATTTGATTCCTTGGTCCTCTACGTTTGTAACCCATTATTTAATGATTCACAGCCCTTAGTACATCATGTACCCTTCATCATCAATTTGATGTTGAGATGAATGGCTAGCTTGACCTCTTCCCTCACTAACCAACAACTTGATTGAGTGAATTATGCAAGAAGGCTCGCTGTAATGCCCACTTTATTTATTGATTAATGATAATTGCACATGCATTTTACTCATTTATTTCGTGTCATTAGATGACATTTTGAATTATCCTACTTTTTTTTTTTTACTTTGCCAAAAGTTGTTCTCATTTGAATCTTTTGCTATAAAAATGACTAATGCAATCAACAATCTACTCCCAGGAAGAAAATGATATACAACACCAATTAATCAAAAGGGATTGTAGCCAACTACTCTATCATTTTTCTACGATTTCTTTTTCAGCATGGAGTGTGCATTTATTACTATTTTTATTTTGTGGGGTATTTTAGAAATTACATTTTGAAGGAGAAAAAAAAGAGAGGGTCGGTATTTTATTTTCAAATTAAGAGAGTTATATTATATTTATAAAAGTAAATAAAAAAAAGTGTTACATTCAGTTTATACTATCTATTATTCTAAAAAAATTAAAAAAAAGAAACATTTCCCTTTCTTCTTAAACTTAACTCTCAAACACATCCATAATCACTTGGTCCACTCTCTTTTTTTTTGTGACGTTGCTTTCGTCTTTGCTGTTTGTTTACACTGCTGCTCTCTCTCTTTTTCTTTTTTTTTTTGTCAAAGCACTTGCTGCTTAAAGTGTTTTGTAGGTTGGTTTTCCTTGGACCTTTGATTTGGGCTCCTCGTTTTTTTAGGTTCTGCCCGTTGTGTCGTCTTTGGGCTTCTCGCCTTCAGTGTTTTTTAAGGTTCGGTTGATGAAAAGAAAAATAAAGCAGCAATTTTTTTTAAAAAACGGTAACAATGACAAAAAAAAAGAATAACTTGTAGACCAAAAAGAAAACTGCTAATTATTGAAAAAAAAAGTCATTTTTAATTAATTTAACTAATTTAAAAAATTAGGCCGGCCAAAATAGACTTATTTTAAAATTTACATATTCTTTAACTAACTTGTTGAAGCATTACTTTATTATTTTTTTAACTTCTAAGTTTAGCGTTTATGTTTATAAGCTTTTAATTTATTATTTTTTGTTTTTATCATTTTTACTTTATTATATTTTTGTATTTATCGCTTTTTTTTTTCACAAATCCTTAGTATACACGCTCTCTCTTTCGTTGTAGCAAGAGCAACACCTTAATTTTTATTTATATTATTTCATTTTATTTAATTAAAATTTTCAAAATGAAAATAAAATTAAAAATATTATCATAATTTATAAATTAATAAATTATTTAAAATAAAATAAAATATAAAATATTATTATTTAAAAGTAATATAGTTTAAAAATTTTATATTATAATTATGTAAAAATAAAAACTAAAATAACTTATTTCTCAAATAAATAGTTATACCCTTGTAACGACCACGCAACAATAATAATAAAAATAGAAACAAGTTAGAGAAGGGAATAACACAAAATAAGACAAGGTTATTAGAGTCTCAAGTAGATTCCACATGAATTTATTCTTTCTTCTACCTTTTTTTCATATTAATTAAACCTAACAACCAAAATACTATTCTTCTCACTTATTAGAGTCTCATTAATTTTTTTTTCTCCAATTTCACGTAACCAGTTGAAGGGAACTCACCAAAGAGAGAACAATATTATACAAATAGACTGATAAGAGAATAACTAAACAAGCATATACATCCACACTCAAAAGATGTATACGTAATAGTATAAAGTTTCATCATGTGAAGTGAATATATTTAGTATGAGGTTATATATTTAAATCCTATTATACGTAAATTCTCTCGAATCATAATTATAAATTTTTTATGTTCCCACAGAAAAACAAAGTTACTTTAAAACATCTTCCTCGTCCACTCTTTTAGTTATGTTCCCTTGTGACACTAAAGTGTAGCAAAGTAAACGAGAGGAAATCTCTTTGGATGGTTTAAAGCAGGAGAAATTGCGAAGAAAGAAACAGAGAATTGAGTAATAAGAAAATGGGGAATATGGGAAGCAGTGGAAGGCAACAGAGAAGGAGGAGGAACCCAACACCACAAGGGATAAACTACTCCTTTGCACCTCACCCTCCTCACTACCCCAATACCCTTCTTCCTCCTTATCATCAATACCCACAATCGTTTTCTTCTACCACCACTTTGGTTGATACCCAATTCACTTGTGAGCTTAAGCATGAGAAAACTATCTCCATCAGGAATGATGTGAACATCAAGAAGGAGACACTTCACATGGAGCCTGATCAACACAACCCTGGCGATTTTCTTGTTGCTTTCAACTTTGATGCCACTGCTTCTGGATGGTTTGTACCTATCACCCCCCACTTCACTCCTTCCTTATCTTATTATTCAATTTTCCTATGTTGTTATCATGTTATACTCCTTCGTCAACTTCATTTATCATTACTCATGCAAAGCAACTCTTGCTATAAGCTCTCAATAAGTAGACCACTTTTACTTTAATCCAAGTGCTTTGCCTGACTTATCAGCTTTTACTTATTTCCATCGGTAGATACAAATACTAATTAACTAGTGTTTATAATTTTTTTAATTTATTTATCTGTGTATTTATATATGTTTATTGACTGTTTGTGTTCTCAAATTTACTCATTTAGAAGTTTTTTTATCACACAATTTTTAAAAAAAATAATAGAATGAATAAATAATTGAAAGATAATATTTAGTAATATATATATATATATATATTTAATATAAATAATGAAATAGATTTTATAATATATTAAAAATTAATGTACTTTTAATTATTATTTATATAGAAATTTAGGAAAAAAATTGAAATCAAAACTTGAAATGTTGAAAACATGAAAACCTGAAAAGCCAAGAAACATATACATGAAATAGATGAAAAAGTTAAAAATAATAATTTAATTGATTTTTTTTTAAAAAAAAAGGTTACATGATAAAAGAAATTTACTATTATATATAAATATTATAATTATAGTTATGAGATTCTCTCAATAATTTCGCATATCAAATTCATTGTAGCACATATCACAATTTTAAGGGCGTTATTATTATTCTTAAATATTTATTTTCAGTTTTATTTAAGTAACTTTTGTTTAAATTTTTTTTTTCCTCCTCATATAGATATATTACCAATTAATATAGATATTTTATATACAAACTTCTGATATGTTTAACATATCATTTAATGACTTCGACATCTCCTGTGTTGTCATTTGTCAAGTTCATTTAGAGATGATTATGTAAAATTCCTTTACACTAACCCTGAATCATAATTAAATTGTTTTCTTACTGCAATGGTTTTAATTTATTAGTGCTATTGCTGCTAGACTTTGTTGAGCTCATCAGCTATTGAACATTGTAAACATGGTTTGAAAATTTTGTTATATTGCATGCCTTGCTTGATAAGTAATCCATTCCATTATCAAATACCGTTGTTCATTAATTTTGCATTTCTTGTTTATAAGAAAATGAGATAACTCTCATTCTTAAATAAATATTATATTTACATTTGATATGATGCATATGGCATTTTTTTTTCTATCTGTGTCTCTGTTCTTTCATTTGTTTAATGCTTATGAGTGATTTTTTTACCCTGCAACAGCATTACAGTAATGTTTTTTGCCAAGGAAACTTTAGATGGTAAGCTGATAGCAGTGAAGAAAAGCTTGCTGAAACAAATTTCAATGCCTTTTCAGCAAGGTCTTTGTCAGAAATTTAGACAACCTTCTGGAACTGGGATTGAAATCTCAATGTTAGAGGAGATAAAACTAACAAAAGAAGGTGAAACAGTTTATCCTCTTGTGCTGAAGGCTGAGGCTCGACCATTAAACCATTATGTAAATGATGGAAACCCATTTTCTCAAATTACTTTGGCTAGTTTTGAGAAGAGAGAGAAAGGTGAGTACAAAGTCCGAGTAATGAAACAGATTCTCTGGGTTAGTGGGAAGAGGTATGAACTGCATGAGATATATGGCATTGGGAATGCTAGTGATGTTGATGGACATGAAGTTGGTGGACATTGTGTCATTTGTCTGTCAGAGCCACGAGATATAACTGTGCTCCCTTGCAGACACATGGTACTTTTCATTTTTACTTATTGCAGTGTGTTTGAAAATACCTTGAAAGACCTATAAAGCTAGATTCACCTAGAAACTACAACTAGTAGCATTAAATAAACGTTTGAAAATACCTTGAAAGACCTATAAAGCTAGATTCACCTAGAAACTACAACTAGTAGCATTAAATAAACGTGAATCCAGGGCAATTCAAACTTGTATCCAAACATGCACTTAGTTTTAGTTTGGTAATTGATTCGTGTTAATTTTAGTAAAATTAAAATTGCATTGCTATAATTGTTGTTGCATTTTGTTTACACTACATTATTTTGTGTTATTAGTATGCAGATTTCACTCTAAAATTAGAAATGCATGTTACAATTGTTATTGCATTTTGTTTAGACTCTTACCATTATTTTGTGTTATTCTTTGATTGCTGTCAAAAACTTGTGATTGAATTTAATTTGGTGCAAGATATTTTACCCTTTCAATTTGCACTGATATGCTTTATTTGATGCATGATGTTTCCACATGGTTCACTGAGCCCACATTCATGCTAAATTGACAGTGATAATGCTGAGTGATTGAGATTTGTCTTTCTCCTGATTTGGATAATTTTGCCTTATGATATTGGTTGCAGTGCATGTGCAGTGGGTGTGCCAGCCTTCTGAAAGTTCATACAGCCAAATGCCCCATTTGTCGGCATCCAATTGAGAGGCTTTTGGAAATTAAAGTAAATGATGGATTTGGTGACTGATGAAGTTCTAAATTCTACAAAATGTTTGTTCCTTTCTCAATTAAGAGGTACACCTATGCCTCAACTTGTACACATCTCTCCTCTGTTGGCTTAGATATTGCAAATAAGTGTTACAAGTTGTAACCAAAACAATATAGCCATGTAAGAAAAAACAGTGCATGAGTCTTGTCTGAGGATGAAATTTTCCACAATGCACAATGTTTATTAGCCAATTGCTTATTGTGTTCTCCACTGAATTTTCACTTTGCTAGCTACGATGGACATAGTTTCAAAACATACGAGTATTAACTTTACACACAGAAATTAACATTTTCAAACAATATTGTTCCACTTTCATCATTTTTCACTCCAAATTTTAATTTGATTTTTTTCTTAAAAAACAATATTTTATTCCCGATGATATATATGCAATTACCTTTTTGTTTGATGCGTGTGTCTTGTGTAATCTACAATATTTTGTTTTCAAGTTCTTCTCTCAATCACAATATACTTATTTTTTATTTTTACTTTCATTTTATGACTCTTCTATCTGAGTTTTATGTAGTGTTTAACTAATCATAGCATGCCAAGTGAATTTAAACATATAAAAGATAAAAGATGATCCAATGGAAATATCTTAGATGAGTTTCGTAAGAATCAGATAATTATTTGCACTTTATAGGAAGAATTTGTTTATAAAATAGTTGATTTTCTAAAGAATAAAAATTCTAATGTTTTACCTATTGTGATTGTTTAATTATGTAAAATAAAAATATTTAGTGGTATGATTATTTATCTATATTAAAATCTTTTTAATTGTGTGATAGTTATTATTATCAACAAATTATATTTTATGGTTGTTCTAGAAACTTTAGGTATATTAAATGTTTATAATAAAATAAAGTTGTATATTAATTCTAACATAAAAGAAGTTATTAATTACAAAAATAGATAAATATTTTAATTATTTTTTATTTATAGAAAAATTATTATGTTTTGTACGATATTTTTTATTATTTACTATTTTACATAATTTGATATATTTTAAATTCTAAGTTTTCTGGGCCACACAATGTCCAAATCTTGTTAAGTAGTAGGCCCAGATAATTGGATATTAAAAGATCTATCGTCGATGGATTGAGGTTAAATGCAGGGAAAAAGATTGAGTGAAATAGTAATTTTAAATATATTTTGATATTTCAAAAGTTATTTTTAAAAAGTGACTAATGATAGGAACATCCTTTTTAATATAGTTAAAAGTTAATTTTCTTTTTAAATAAAATAAAAGTATTTAAAAAAACCCGTGACAACATTTTTTTTTATAATTTTAATATATATGTACATATACATATATGCTATTATTATTAAATTTTAAAAATAAATATAAATAAAACTTATTAAATTTACGAACGTTTTATTTTAGTGCCTTCTACTCGAGCATGGTCTTGAATATGATTTCCATTTTGCTGCATACATCATGATGAAGCATTATACGTATTCTGACTTTTTTTTTATTAGGGGATTAATCTGATTGCTAAATTATGGTCAAATGTTCATCCTTTTGATTTTTATTTTTTTTTGTCATTTTTTAAATTACAGTAGAGGTCACTTTAATCTGAAAAATTTATGCATTATTTGAAATAAGAGAAGTATTTATTATATATTTATAATTTAATATAATAAATATATAATTAAAAAAAACTTTTATTCATAAATGATTAAATTCAATCTTAAAGGTTATAGTTAATAACATCGTATATTTAATTGGATCTCTAATTACTCGAAGCTTCAGCTGCGTGAAAATTTTCTGCATGTGTTTCACACATTTAGCTTTATGAACCCTGCTTATTTTATAGTATTAGTAATTGAATGTGGTGCACTTTATGATAAATAAATGAAAGATTATGATTTATTGGCGAGCAAATTCCATCCACGTTGAATGAAAATGATTTTTTTAATTTCCCCTTCTTTTGCTAATATGAAGTTGAGTTGGTATACAAATAAATAATTAGTAGTCATGATTAGGAACGTGATGCCTTCCCACCTTATATGTGATGAAAGTTAAATTAATCGATGTCTTGTCATTATATAATGGTGTCACGATCAAATTAATCTTTATGATGTATTTGTAAAGAGATAATTCTAAAAAGTGAGTGTTGATGGAAAAAAAAAGCTCAAAGTTTTGTTTCTATTTTACTTATTAGAGTTCAAGGATATTGTTTGAGAAAATAATAAATATTATTTTTATTACAAATGATAAAAATGAGTATAATATAGTACATGTTTGATAAAGTATTTTAATTTTTTTAATCAAATGGTACTACTTAACATGTTTATTATATCTTTTATTTCTGATGCTAATTAATTCTTAAAACACGATTTGAAAAATACACATGAATTAATTGTTAAGAATGTAACTGGAAACATATTTATTTATCTATTAATATTATAAAAAAATTATTTTGATTTTTTAAATTTTTTGAGATAATTATATTTATTTGTTTCTACAATTTAAGAAAAATTATCTTTTGATATTTTCCACGAGTATTTCTTCACTTAAACTTATTGCTTAAGAATAAACAAAATTTAAGCGTGGAAAGATTAATAAATGATTGTTTTATTAATTTATTTATAAAATTGTAGATAAATCATTAATTATTTGAGTTTATTAATTAATTTACTTGTAGTTAATATTTTTTATTTTATTGTAAAAAATTATAAAGAGACTAAATGAGTCTTTTTAAAGTAGAAAAATTCAAATACTTTTTAAACACTTGCTTTTACTACTTTTAACAGATAAATTTTTCTATGAGATAAAACTCTTAACAATTATCTATAATCTAAGCTAAATAGATAAAAAAAGAAAAAGAAAAAAAGAAGATTGAACTTCAATAAAATAAAAAAAATATTAAAATATCAATCACCAAAGAAAAAAAATAACAATATGCATGTATACAAATTGCGGGGACTACCCAACCTATAAAGGTTTTTCTCGTATATCATCATAAAATAAGTCTGCTTGTATTATTCTTAGTTATGCATGTCTTATTTAAAAAAACTTAAGAAAATATTAATTATTATTTTTAACTAAATTTTGATTTTCACTTAGTTTAATTATAATTATCATTTAATGTAACATATAACATTTTAAGGCTTGTGCTTAAATAGTTAAAAATATTTTAAAGTTGGTACTTTCAAAACACTTAGTAAATGGAGTCGTACATGTAAAGGGTTATTTAATTTTTTAGAACATCTTTAATTGGAATTACTTAAAATTAAGCAATGTTGCATAAGAATAGAATTGTTAATAAGAAAGGGAATGAGAATTGTGTAAAAAAAGGAAGAGATGTTTATACAAACAATTGTTGCACATAAAAAAAATTAAAGAGAGATAAAGATACAATTATTCTTTAATTATAGAGATAAAGATACTTTTTGAATACCTTTAAAAAGTGGTTCTTATCAAAGTTTTTTTATTCTTGAGAAAGTTGAAGTTACGCGGAGGAATGGTTGCTTGCAAGCAGCAACAATGCTATTGTTCTGTAAGTAAAAAAGAACAATTGTGAGTCTCAGCATTCAATTTTTTAAAATCTATTTACAGTAAAAACAAAAAAAAGTATACAATTATAACTACATTACCTAAGTTTTTTATTTTTTATTTTTATCTTCGATCCCATTGTTTTGCTTATAGATTTAGCGAGAAATGTTAACAACATAGTTTTTAAAACATATATTTTTAATATACTTCTAATTATTAGTTAAATTTATTAAAAAAATTAAAAAAATTAGTTTAAAAACAAAAAATATTTTTTAAAATTTTAATAAATTTTAACGCGTAGTTAATAGTGTCTTAAAAAATGCATTACTAATATTTTTCGTATCTAAAAATAACTACTTTATTAAGAGCCATTAGATGAGTGTAACAACACTTTTCTTGTTACAAAAACTTTTAAAATATATTATAATTATTAATTAAATTTTTATGAATATAAATTTAAAATTAATTTTCAATATATAAAAATAATATTTTTATATTAAAAACACAATATTTTTAATTTTTCATAGACTATATTTTTAATAAAAAATTATGACTTCAAATATTTAAAGTTAATTCTAAACACTGATATTAATATTTTTTTCTCAAAAAATGATGTTATAAGTCTAATAATTTAATTTTTAATTAATTATTATAAATTAAGAGAACAATTGAAATAACTTACAGCGAACTTAGAAAAATGATTTATGACTCTTATAATTTAAAAATAATAATAGTTTTTATATAAATTATAAAAAAAATATCTCTTTTAAACTTAATTTAATAAGCTTTGTAATAAAAATACAATTAAAGTAGTCTTATTATAAAATGAACTTTTTTAAAAATGAAAGAGGCCTTAGTTTTCATTACTTATCACATTCGAGAAGCAACCCAGTGTGATTGCTTGTTGCAATAATGATGGTAAATCATAGGTGGTTTCACGGGCAAACGAAGAAGGAAAATAGGTCATAAAGGATTCAACTATAAATGGGAATGAACAAAAATAATTAAAAAGCAATTATTTAACCAAAAGGAAACAAAAGCATTAATGGTGGCATGAGATCTCAGCAATCGTCCTTTGCTCCTTCTTTGTCAGATAAATGAATTGAGTCGGTGGCAATGAGCCATCATTGGCTGAGTTTCAAATGACATGGCACATTTAAGGACGCTAAATATATTGAACAAATTATGAACCAAAATATATGTCACCATCAGTTTTAACATTGTTGGACTCGTACACTTGTATTCTGACCCTTCGAATGTTGTGTGTCGTCTCTAACACGTAATCAAAGTGGTTGCTTGCTATAACTTGAATGGCCTTTTCCCAAGGAGAAAGTTAAGGGTGCTCTTCAATTCTTTAATTTTCGTTGCATTAAAGCCACAAGCCCCACAAGTAGTCGTGAGAAAAGCAACAAGTCTCAAGAATTATATATCCATTCTTTCGAAATATAGCCATCCACTCAAAATACTTATGTCCAACTCCTCTTTCATCTTTCAACACTACGTCCAACTAATCAAAGGATAATCATAAACTATGAAATATTCATACTTATTTTTTATTTTTCTCCCTTTAAGATAATGTGTGTGTACCGAAATATTCTTTCTTTTTTCGTGAATTTAAAACTAATCAACATTTGACTTTTGATTGATATATTTTGTTTAAGACTTTTGGAAAAAATAACCAAATTTTTTCAAAAAGTTTGGAAAGTTAAAAAATATGAAAAATAAAATATCTATAAATAAAATGAAAAGTTAATAATGATAACTATAAAATATAAAATTAAAAAATGTCGTAACCTAAACAAATTCGAGAAGAGGCAATTATTTTTGAAGCATTCCACCAAATTTTCCCTTGAGACCAATTGCTAAAGAAAGAGTATCCAAATAAAACTATAGAAGCGCTTCCAACCTACCCTATTCATAGCTCATACAGAAAGAACTCTCTAGAATCATTCAGTACATGCAGGAAGTAACCATTTCAATGTTTTTGTTTTGTCAAACATTGCATTGGCTTTCATTACTGTTGACATCAATTAATGAGTATCAAATATTAGTAATATATTATTTTAGTGTGTATTCTGGTACTTAAATTTTTCTTTTATGAATATTCTAGTTAAAAAAATTTATTAATAAAAATAAAACTTATAACAAGTTAAAAAAATATATTATTTATATTATTTGTTATATAATTTTATTATATATATATTATATTATTTTTTATAAATTTTTAGTTTCAAATAAAATAAAATTTATATTTCAATAATTTTCATTTATTATAAATAAAACAATTATAACATAATATATTAATATAATATTATTATTTTATTTTTTATTTTAATTTATTTAATTTTAATTGTGTCTTAATTTTATTTAAAAATTTAATATTTTTAACTTATTTGAATATAATAAATTATTATTTAAATATATATCTATATATTATTGATTAAATTTTTTTATATACTGTATCTTAAAATTTTTTTCAGGATAACATAGAATTTACCTATTATTTTTTTAAGCGTGTATTCACGAGTATACAAAATAATAATAATAATAGTTTTTTATTAAAAATACAACAGTTAATGATATAAATATATTAAAATTTATATTTTAAATAAAAATTATTATATATAAATTATCATTATATATTATTGAACATATCTTAAAAGATCTATAAAGTATTTAGAATACTTAACAATAACAACTTGAGACAAACAATAAAATAAGTATAAAATACATAAATGTCAATCTCTATTGTACACCAAGTAATATATTTTTTTTTTTTCATTATGTATCCGAAGATTGAGTTTAATGATGTTTCCTCATTCGTTTTTAATCGTAATAAAAAATGAAACTCCTTTAGCTTCTTTTATCTTCTTACTAAAGAACAAGCGGTGCCCACAGTTTCTTAAGACCATAGTTGTCTGAACAAATTTCACAGGAATTGCGTGAATCCAAAGGGATTTGGACAATCATCCGAAAAATAAGCTAAAAATATGGCAAAGTGGGTAACTGAAGTACCTCATGCACAAGCATGCATCCTCATCCCACCTTGGAAGTGGAGAGACACCACTCAGAGACTCCATGTTCTCGAACGTTTCATGCTTTTTAGTTTTGTTCTTGCCTCCAGTCATTAGCACATGTACTTTCAAGACCACAACAAAACATATATTTCAGTCACTTTACCAAATCTTATTGGATTAATTCTTTCTCGTTTCAATTGTTAGATAACAGAAAATAAGGATAAAGTTATGCAAAAAGGAATTAGGTTGTTGATTTTTTAAAGTATTAAACAATTTAAACCAAATCGTTTTTTAAAAGTAACAATTATTTATTTAGAATTCATCGACATATTGTTAAACATTTTACTTTTACAAATTATAACAATTTTACACAAATCTTACCCAGATGATTGTGGAGCAAATTTGAAAAAAATGCTAATTTTTCTACACAATTTGAAGATTGCAGAAACGAAATCTTATGTCTTATTATTTTAAATAAACTTCAGTAAAATTGAACCTATTTAATTTAATATGGCGTGCAAATGAGCAACGTCTAACATGCATTATTTTGATGCAATAAGTGTGTGTACTATAAAAGCAAATGCAAAAGCGGAGAGTCCGGGCATAGTGGAGAAAGCAAGTGTATGTGGGAGTGAGAACACGACATGCTCCCACCTTGTTTCATAAATGTTCAACTTTATCTCTGTTATTACCCAATTTAAGCTGTTTTTCTCTCACAACTCACAAACACATGCACTAAGCAATAACAAACTACTCAAACTAAGTGCTAGTACTATTATTTCTGTTAGTTCCAAGTTGTTGTTTTCCTTTGTCACCACAAAATGAGTGCTGAGCAAAAACAAGATGCACCTTCGTGCAAGCCAACACTTTCTCTTCCAGTTCGCAAGGTACTTACTAAATTCTTGTTTTCCCACTCTCTTAGCCAAGTTTGTAATATTTAATTTATCTAATTGTGATATTAAATTAGCCAACATCAGTTGTTTATCAAGTCCATGTTTTGTTTATTTTATAGGTTGATGATCCAATAGAGGCAACTGATGAGACTTCACATGTTAATCATTGGAAGCAACAGAATCTTCACCTGGAAATACCCTTCACTACATTAGAAGAGCCTTCTCAGGATTTTGTTGGAATAAGGATGCCACTCACACCAAGTCCTACTCCAACTCATAAGAGAGTGAATTTTCTTGTCACTTCTCGTTCTGTTGATGCTCCAATCAGAAATCACCCAGGCCCTTCAGCTTCAAGAGCCAAATCTTCCATAAGAAACATCTTACCAAAGCTCAACTTCAGGAATCGAACATCATCTGATATTGAAAAGGCTATAACTGGAACTCCAGAAGGTTCCTGTTCAGGCCTTCAAGAAAAGTCTTCAATCTCAAGATCAGTGTCTCTCACAAAAATATTCACTCCTAAGATTAAGAGGGCATCATCATTACCTGTAGAAGAAATTGCTCTTGCCAACACAGATTCTGCTCTAGCTGGAATTGTTGGTTGTTCTCCATGTGTAAGATTTCAAGCGTTTACATAGCAATAAATTATAAAAATGACTCCTTTATATGTACTTGATTAATGGGCATCTTGGTTTTGCACTAATAAAAAAAATGAACTTAAGGATTGAAATATTTGCTGGATTAATTTCTTCCACTGAAATTACAATTGTTGTTTCATGAGGTCTTAGAAGCAAGAGAAAAAAAAAATTGCAATGATGAACACCAAGGTTTAAAAATTCTTTATTTAATGCTTTTTTTTAAGCTCGATGGTTACTCTGCTTCTGCTAATGTCACTTCTGGTATTTCTAACATCGTAAAGATGTTTACCCTTTGCTTTAACATATTTGGTCCTTTTGCAGGGACGAGAGACCCAGGGGATGATAGCTCGCTCTCGTTCAGTGCCTGTCAATGACAAAGATAAAGGAATAAGGAGAATGGATTCGGTTTTCCGCGTTATTCCTTCCACCCCTCTAGTAAAGAAAGTGAACGAAACAACAGAGGATTCAGGTATCTTATTATAAGCACTTACGTAAATACTCATTAAAAATAATAAAATTCTCATGTCCAATTAACAGTTAGGAAAAATATTAACATTATATCTGTTTTTTGTTTTCTTGGCACTTAAAAATTTCCCACATTCATTGAAGGCATCTTAGTTTAATTTATAAATCCATAACAAATTGTTTCAAACCCCACATGAAGTTATTAACTTTAAAGCCTTTCCTGGTTCAGAAAATGGTGACGGTGAAGATATTGCTGAAGAGGAAGCCGTGTGTAGAATTTGTCTGGTTGGTCTATGTGAAGGAGGTGAGACATTCAAGCTGGAATGCAGCTGCAAAGGTGAACTTGCTCTGGCTCATCAAGAATGTGCTGTTAAATGGTTTAGTATCAAGGGTAACAAGACCTGTGATGTGTGCAAGGAGGAGGTTAGGAACCTCCCTGTCACTCTCTTAAGGATCCGTAGTGTTCAAACGCAGAATACTGGAGCAAGGTCCCCGGAAGATGATTACAGGCATGTGTAGTTAATTTCTTTTATAAACATTGGTACTAGTATACAATGAATGAGTCATGACATTACTTTTCAATTGGGAGCTAAATGAGTATAATAGAATCTTATGAGCAACCTTTTTATAGAATCATACTAAATCAACATGGTAATAATCATGAACCAGCCTGGAATAGTGTTTTTGTTGTGTCTTTCATGTACTGTAATTATTGTTACACATAACACGTTAATTTGTCTGCTCGATTTGACAGGATTTGGCAGGAACTCCCAGTGCTTGTTATTGTCAGCATGCTTGCCTATTTCTGTTTCCTTGAGCAGCTGTTGGTGAGAATAAAAGTCTTATCAGATATGTCATGGATACAATTCTATATATCCTCAGTTATTCAACTCTCTGCAGGTTGGAAAAATGGGAACCAAAGCAATTTTCATGTCTCTTCCATTTTCCTGTGTATTGGGTCTACTCTCCGCAGTGACATCATCAACTATGGGTAATTGTAACTCATCATAGCTTAGTTTACAAATATAATTTGGTGACATATCACTATACCAGTAAGCATTATTTATAGAAGCTCCTATGATCTAAAATGATATGGCCATTGGTGATTAATTTATAACATGATTCTTAATTTGTAGAGTTCTTATTCATGACACCAAAATTGTTTTGGCTAATTCTGTTAATGCTTGGATGGGTTTCTCTAAAATATGCAAACCTAACTGGTTTTTAACCTTGTTTTCCAGTTAAGAACAGGTTCATCTGGATCTACGCATCTGTCCAATTTGCTTTGGTGGTTCTCTTCGCTCATATATTTTACTCCTTGGTAATACTTTTTGATTTGAGCTAAATTCTTATTTTTACTTGACACCATAATATTATTTTGAGAAATAAATAGTCAAAGGCATCAAAAGTTGGTTCTGAATCCAGCTTACCACTGGAATGTGACATTCGCTGATCATAGAATGAGACAACCTTTATTTCACCCGAACATTTTATCACCAAAAGGAAAATAGTCAAATGGATCAAAATTCAAGTTTTGACATTAATACTTATACAACTTCTATGAAATTCTGTGCGCTCAAGTTTTGATGGTAAAACTGCAGGTTGGTAAGCATGCAGTTTTGTCAATCCTTCTAGCAACATTTGCTGGGTTTGGTGTAGTGATGAGTGGAAGTTCAATTCTTGTTGAGTTTTCAAGATGGAGAAGAAGATGGCAGGCTTTATCCGAGCAGAGTCAAAGCTGAATTGATCTTTGTATGGCTTTTTTCGCGTTGGTTGAGGGGATTGTCAATTGTCAATTGTCATTGTATAGGCGATAAAGCTCTGGAAGGATTTGACTAGTGTACATCTACACAAACACTTTATTGTACAGCTTATATTATCGCAATAGATGATGGCTTAGGACTACACTCTCTCTTGCTATGGTTTTTTTGTTTATTTCATTGTACTAAGCATTTCACCACAGCAAAACAAGAATACTGTTTCTGGACTGCTTTTTTGCTTGGTGAGATACAAGATTGACAAAAACTTATTTGTGCAGTAAAATATTAATATGTTGACGTGATGCTCTAAACTTAAGTAGTGACGATTTAGTGTGTATTTGAATTTCATTTTTGAAGTACTAAATCGTAGTTTTTGAGGGGCAGTTTTTATCACATCAATATTAATAAAAAGGAAAATACTAACAACCCATTTTTAAGTCAGGCCAAATGGTTCGTGAGTTAGCCTAAAAGTTAAGCATTTTATTGTTATAATTTTTAATAAAAGTTGGTCCATTTCACTATAGACTTGAGCTAACCCATCCATGGATCAGAGTTCATGTAAATTTTTAAGCCCAGACATACAAATTGTAAGTTTTTGTAGGGTAATAATGGGTAGAAATTCGTTTAAAAAACTTTATTTATGCAGTGCTTACATGAATCTTAAATCTAGACCAAAAAACAAACATGAATCTTATTTGATCTGCGTGGAGTCGTGCAAGATATCATGTATCATCTCCATTGTCAAAATGTATCTTAATTTCGTAATTTCTTTTTTTTTTTAAATAATATATTTTTTTATTAATGTTAAAATGATTAATACCGTTTTTGAGGTTTCAAATGAGAATTTAAAAACATTGTTAGTTTCCATCTAATTCCAATGATTTTTAAGTGTACTTGTCATTAAACCAATACAAAAAGAGAGATTTAGTATATCAAGTTTAAACTTGAATTAAATTAGAACAAAATTTAGGTTTTATACACGCATCACAAAGAAAAAAAAAGTATTTATAACAAATCTAATTTAAAAAGTTTAATAAAAATATGATTTTTTTTATTTAAAAATCTAAAGAATGTTACATCTTTTGAACAATTTTTTTATTAATTTTTAAAAGATTATATATATAGATGAATACTATAAAACAAAAGTATTTGATCAAGAAAAAGTAAAAAGAAAAAAGAGGAAAAGAAAGTAGACAAAAACATCGTTGCATTGTTGGCATACTGACAGGGATAAGGTTGGTCGAATGGAGGCAGTGGCAGGGTAGTTGGAATGACATAACATGCTACATAGGATAGTCACTCTTCCTCTCTTTTCATTCCCACTTATATTGTTGGCCTTCTTTAACTTTCCATAAAACAAAATTGAGAACTTTCATAACATTCTCCACCTTCATATTTCATGCCCAAGATTGCTTTGTATGCCGTCATATTCCATCAAAATGTTAACTTGTTTTTATCTTTTTGCTTCAGCATGAGAATGGCCTCTCGCAAGAAGAATATGGATAATAAGATTGGCCCTGCAACTACAGGTTTTGTGTAGTGCCCAGTTCAAGATCTTTCCATACCTTGCCTTTTGTTTTATATATATTTGATATTCGAAGAACACACTCATTTTAACAGATTTTTAATTGTTAATTAAAATTATAAAGGAAGAGATGGTTATCATCTTGGAAAAGCATTTTTTAATTGAAATAGTGACTACTTAAATCAGCAGTGATTCGTACGCAATGCTGTACGTTCTAAGCCTAATAAGTTCCTTGTAAACGACAATTTCTTTTACAATTTAGACTCATAAACACCCTCACAGTATCATTACCTTTTTAACACCTTAGAAATTTGAAGATCGGTTATTTTAAGTTTGTATGAAATCAAAACTGAAAGTAAAATCGTAAAAGCAGTAGAGTAAGATAAATGATGAATGCAAATACTTGTAAGGATTGAACTTTAGTCTGTACCTACATTCTCAATTTTGTTCCCTGCATGAAAAAAAGGAATAAGCTAAATTGAGAACAATCTTAACCATAAAGACACATTTAAAAACTTGTTTAATTGAGTACTAATTAAAAATAAGTGTCATGTATATAGATTAAAGAAGTAATTAAACCAAATAAAAATAAATGTATTTAATATCATAACAATTTAAAATAATTTAATATTTTTTGAGTAACAATGATAGTTTATTACGAAGATTAGCTAGAAAGATACATAATTTAATAACATTATTATATTAAAAAGATATTTATTTGAAAGTCGTATATCACATGTCTTTTTTAGAGTTATTTTTTCCTTTCAAAATATTAGCTTATATATATATATATATATATATATATATATATATATATAAGTGAAGTCATAATTATTTTACTAATTTTTACAACTCATAATTAACACAATTCACTACATATTCATCAAAATCTTTAACGTGTAGATATACTTCATATATTTGTATTTTTCAGTTTTAAAATATAAATTATCATTAATCTTATCTTCTTCTATAAATGTCAGTTATTATTATTTTTTATACATGTGACTAATTTCTAAAGTGTGTGTGTATATATATAAAATTAATATTTCTTAAATTTTCCTATTTAATTTAAACAATAATTATTTAAATATTTAATGTTTTTAAAGTAATAAAAGCATTATACAACTTTATAGAGAGAACATAAAAATATTCTAAATAAAGATAAAATATAATTTTAATTCTTATAAAATAATTAGATTACTTGTCTTGGTCAAGTAGATTTTTTTTAATAAAAGGTTGGATAAATATTTGTTTAATGAGTTTGATTCTATATATGGATAAATATTTACAAAAATTTATGGGTATGGATATAGATATTAATATCCATATTCATTTACTTGCACTGTATATAAAAAACTAAAATATATGCAAAGAATTATTTAAAGAGAATTATTATTCACGTAAAAAGTTTGTATAAATTATGTGTAACAAAAAAAATGGTATAATAAAAAGTAAAAAGTTATTTCGACTTTTTAAAATATAAATATAAAAATAGTACAATATATTCGTTTATAAATTATACTAACTGTGATCCCTAATTAGACGCCTAATTACATACCTTAAGCGGCTCGTGAGACTCGTCTCAACAACCAGCGTCAACGTCAAATTCAACGAGGCATAGTGAATGTGTTACAAATTTTTAGAAATGTTTAGTATTTTTATTAAGTTATTTTAATTACTTCAAAACCCAATAATTATTTGAATTCTAAATATTTAAAATATTTTTGCTTTTTTAATATATATTTTTTCTATTAAAATAAGGATAATGCAATTTTATTCTTTATAGTGGACTTAGTTAAGTTGGGTAACGGTTGTGAACGGTTTTCCGATGGCGGAATATCCTTAATAGTCATAATCTTGGTATTCAGTAGATTCTCTTTGGAATTTATCTGTTTTATTATTATAATAAAGTAAAAGACACACACTCCTTCGAAATAAGTATCCAATTTCTTTGAAACTCAATTTTCTCAGTTTACCTTTGGCGTGTGTGTTCTTCACGTTCGATGCGTATTTTGTTGGTACATTAAAATTATTAATTAATTTTTTTCTTTATGTGGTTCTCTCATTTATTTTAAAAATAATAATGATAATCACTGAATTGAATGACACTTACTAAGGAAAATGGGGTAGAAAGGAAATAATGAAAAATGGAAGTGCAAACAGAAGCCACACGTATGGCTGCTAGTGGCGATGGATAACAGTGATTTGGTCATGCCAATGAAACATGTTTTTGTCATGGATTCATGTTCTCATTTATTCAGCTTGTTGCTTTCAAATACCAATTTCGTTTTTCTAAATCAGCAACAGAGAAAATTGTAATTAGGCCTCTGAATTTTGCTCCACCACCACAGCACGCCCTTCTTCTCATTTCCACCAGGTAAACAAACTTCACTCTCTTTCCTCACATCTCACTACCACTTTCCAAGACTCCTCCTCGCTCTCTCTCTCTCTCTCTCTCTCTTTTCTTTCATTTCCCAGGATTTTTCTGGCTGGTATGTTTTCCCTCAAGTTTTTAATTCAACAATGGTTTGTGTGTGTGTGAGTGAGTTGAAGTTCAACACAAGAAGCACAATTTCGTTTGACTATTTATTTTGATTGAATTCTGAAGCTTTTGTGATTGTTATGGTTTTGCTTGCCAATCATAGATTTGGTTTATTTGAATTTTCAGTCTGTGAGGTTATACAAATGGCTGCGGGAACTATGCCTAGTTCGTTTTCTACCCTCAAGACTTGGGATTCCAATTTGGGGTTTGCAAAAAGTTTGGATTTTGTGAGAGTTTCCGATTTGAAGAGAATGAAATCAGCAAGGACAACAAGGGTGTCAGTTATCAAGAACTCAAATCCTGGCCAGGATATTGCTGAACTTCAATCTGCATCCCCGGGAAGTCCTCTTTTGGGTATGCATGCTTTCGTAGCTTCAAATATATTTTTTTGTTGTTATTTGAATGATTTAAATTTTAAAATTGTTCATCGATTTCCATTCTTATATGTCACCTCTAATGACTATTTGTGTGTTTCTGCTTCAGTGGTTATTTTCATATTTTAGTTTCGCTTTGCCTGATCCATGGATAATACTTTGAATGCAGTCCCTAGGCAAAAGTATTGTGAATCATTGAACAAAACTGTCAGGAGGAAAACAAGGACAGTGATGGTTGGCGATGTGTCTATTGGTAGTGAGCATCCGATAAGAATTCAGACCATGACTACATCTGACACTAAGGATGTTGCTGGAACAGTTGAACAGGTTAAAAAACTGACTGCCTTGCACTAATTGCGAAAGCTTCTAGCAAATTTACACTGACATGCCTATTTAATTGTCTTTTTTGTTAATACAATTGATTGATGAATTTGGTAGTTATGTTTAATCATCTCCTGGATATTGGCAGGTAATGAGAATAGCGGATAAAGGAGCTGATATAGTGCGGATAACAGTTCAAGGGAAGAAAGAAGCTGATGCATGTTTTGAGATTAAAAACTCCCTTGTGCAGAAAAAGTAAGCACAAATTATAATGAGCTGTATTGGACATAATTGATGCCGTAAGTCCTTATTGTTCATGTATTCATCTGTGTTTTTATTTATCAATTCCCAGCTACAACATACCGTTGGTGGCTGATATTCATTTTGCTCCCTCTGTTGCTTTGCGGGTAGCTGAATGCTTTGATAAAATTCGTGTCAACCCTGGCAATTTTGGTATGCATATCCTTGCTAACTCATCAGTGTTCTTTTATTTTTCATTCCTTTTGGTTGTGTTTTCAAGTGTTGGTTTGCATTCTGAATCCAACATGGTGGTCGTTCACAGCTGATAGACGGGCTCAATTTGAGAAATTGGAGTACACAGAAGATGACTATCAAAAAGAACTTGAGCATATTGAACAGGTCAAACCGTCCATCTGTTCTTTTACATCTCAAATTTTAGTGAAAGCATGCATATGCTAATTTATGGGCATTGCACTTAGGATCACTTATCTCTTATACATGCATCCTTAGTTCTAGCTGAAGATGTGGGAACAGTTTATGTATTACATAAATGTGCTTAAAAAATTATTAAGGAGTATTCATATTCAGAAATTGGATGTGGCATACCATATAATTCTGTTTACAAGATTCTTTGCTGCTTGTCCTAGAAAACAGAAAATGAGTATGATTTTACCCAAGCTGAATAAATGTTCGAACAAAACATTTTTGTTTTCCAATATTGTTTGTCTTATTTGTATTTACATCTAATCCATGCAAAGTTTATGTTCTTCTTTACAATACCTGTTAGAATTAACGATCATACCATGACTGAAATATGAACTTATTGACCTATTTTAGGCTTTACTAAATCCCAGGTTTTCACACCATTGGTTGAGAAATGTAAGAAATATGGGAGAGCAATGCGCATTGGGACAAATCATGGCAGTCTTTCCGATCGAATAATGAGCTACTATGGAGATTCTCCTAGGGGAATGGTAAACAATCCTTCCACATTTTATTCTGCTAAACGTTTTTTGTTTATTTAGGTGTGTCACCCAGAGAGTTGTCCTCACTACGTGATGATTGAACAGGTAGAATCTGCTTTTGAATTTGCAAGGATATGCCGCAAGTTGGACTATCACAATTTTGTTTTTTCTATGAAAGCAAGCAACCCAGTTGTCATGGTTCAGGCATACCGCTTACTTGTAGCTGAAATGTATGTCCAAGGTTGGGACTATCCATTGCACTTGGGAGTTACTGAAGCTGGAGAAGGCGAGGATGGGAGGATGAAGTCCGCAATTGGCATTGGAACTCTTCTTCAGGTATGAATGTGATTGATTGCATATTAAATTGAAAATTTTCAGATTTCCATAAAAAATAGAAATATTCTTCATGCTCTGTTGCATCCATTGAAGACTTACAATGTATTTTGATGATATGCTGTTAACTAGGATGGATTAGGCGATACTATTCGAGTTTCTCTCACAGAACCACCAGAGGAGGAGATAGATCCATGCAGAAGGTTGGCAAACCTCGGAATGAGAGCAGCTGAACTCCAGAAAGGGGTGGTATGATTCAAAACATGCTTCAATTTGACATGCCTAAACTGTCTTAAGTCTAACGTCTAATGCTAGGAACTTACCTTTAATGGCACTACTTCCATCAGGCACCTTTTGAAGAAAAGCATAGACATTATTTTGACTTCCAGCGCCGGTCTGGTCAATTACCAGTGCAAAAAGAGGTTAGGTTATAAACTTTGTAAAAATGCTTAACACCACACACACTGAAATTGTTTTTACATTGCCTTGTTTTGGCACTGCCCGAACATTTCTTACAAAATTCTCCATCTTCATGCAGGGTGAAGAGGTGGATTACAGAGGTGTCTTGCACCGGGATGGTTCTGTTCTCATGTCAGTCACCTTGGATCAGTTGAAGGTATCATTTAGACAGCTCTTCCCTTGTTCTCTCTTATGTTTGTCTGACTGAATTTCTCTATCAGTCACTATCTGTTTATGTGCATCACATTTTCATTCTCTTTACTTCTCATATTAGTAGAGGTGGATAGTGTCGCTCTGAAGTTATTGATGTTATTGACTTGCTGACAAACCCTGTTTTTATAGATGCCAGAGCTCCTTTACAAATCACTTGCTGCCAAACTCATTGTTGGCATGCCATTTAAGGTACGTTATTTTGTTGGATGAATGTCTTGTGTATTTAAATAAGAAGTTATTGACATAGTAGTCCCAATATTCAGGATCTGGCAACAGTAAATTCAATCTTATTGCGTTTATTTTGTTTTTGAATGTCTTGTGGATTTAAATAAGAAGTTATTGACATAGTAGGCCCAATATTCAGGATCTGGCTACAGTAGATTCAATCTTATTGCGGGAACTTCCTCCAGTAGATGATGACAATGCTGTAAGAACCTTGACTTTGGCAACTAAGTCTAAACATAATCATTTTCTTGTTCTGCTTCATTATCCAACAAACCATTTTTGCATCATCAATAAATTGTGACAGTTGGATGATTTTATTTTCCTCTTTCCCATTTTTGGTACTGTGATCAGCGACTAGCTCTCAAGAGACTGATAGATATTAGTTTAGGAGTTATAACTCCTTTGTCAGAGCAGCTAACAAAGCCATTACCCAATGCCATGGTTCTAGTAAACCTGAAGGAACTATCTACCGGGGCTTATAAGCTTTTGCCACAAGGTGATACTCTCTGAGTTTTTTTTATCTATATTCTAAATAAATTGCAAGGACCTCCCTTCAAATTTAATGACATTAAACAAACCTTGTTTTTGAAAATTACATAGAGATTCCTGAAGTTTGTTAACGTTTGATTTTCTGTTATAATATCTTTTTCATCATCCACTTCAAAGTTCATGTTTAATCTTACATCAATTGTGACCTTTTAGGCACGCGCTTGGTTGTGTCAGTACGAGGCGATGAGTCTTATGAAGAACTGGAAATTCTTAAAGTTGTTGATGCTACTATGCTTCTCCATGACCTGCCTTTTTCAGAAGACAAAGTTAACAGAGTACATGCAGCAAGGCGGTAAGAATATTATGCATGGTTAATTATTTGTTGCAATATTCTGGCAATGTGAACCCAATCAGTACATCTGGATCTTTCTTTTTAAACTTCACTTTTGGGCTCTAAATAGTAAAATCATATTTATTTACGCTGATCTGAGCTGCTTATATTTATGATTCTATAAAATTAATCTTTACTGGTTCAGAGTTTCTCTAATCCTGATATCTTACATTGATGTCAGGTTATTTGAGTATCTATCAGACAATTCTCTGAACTTTCCTGTTGTTCACCACATTCAGTTTCCAAAAGGGATTCACAGGTAATTTTTAAGTTATGGTAATTTGTAAGAAATATGTAGTTCCTGATTCCTCGTGAAACCAATCAATTCTCCTTATAGGGATGACTTAGTGATTGGTGCTGGATCTGATGCTGGAGCCCTTCTGGTCGATGGGCTTGGAGATGGCGTTCTTTTGGAAGCCCCAGACAAGGATTTTGAGTTCCTTAGAAATACATCTTTCAATTTGTTGCAAGGCTGCAGAATGAGAAATACAAAGACAGTATGTAGTTTAAGCACAGATAAGACATAGATCGAATTGGAAAAAGAAAGAGCCATGATCTTTAGTTTTTACTGATATGCCTGACATGTCTTGCAGGAGTATGTCTCATGCCCATCCTGTGGCAGGACATTGTTTGATCTTCAAGAAGTAAGTGCACAAATTCGGGAGAAGACGTCACACCTCCCTGGTGTTTCGGTAATCACCTTATCCTTACCTCTGTAGGTCATGCTTCTACCTCTCCATTGAAACCATGTAAATTGCACCTGCGCTAAATGAAAATATCTGTGTTTTGCAATATTTACTTTCACATGCATCAGATTGCAATCATGGGATGCATTGTAAATGGACCGGGGGAGATGGCTGATGCAGATTTTGGGTATGTAGGAGGTGCCCCAGGGAAGATTGATCTCTATGTTGGGAAGGTGACATATTCTTTAAGCCCAAATTACTAAAGCTTAACTCCCTGAAAAAGATAGCCCAACTTGCTTTCAATTTTCCATGGTGAATGAATTTTGATTGACAGTTAAGTATAATGTAATAATTACAATTGCAGACTGTGGTGAAGCGTGGAATTGCAATGGAGCATGCAACCAATGCCTTGATCGAGCTTATAAAAGAGCACGGACGTTGGGTGGACCCTCCTGCAGAGGAGTAAAATGGACAGCTCAATTTTTCTGATTGGCCAATACCATCTTGATTCAAGAGCAATATAGGATGATCATTGTCGTATCTTATTGTATATTTAATGTAAGCACTGATAGCTTAACTTTCAGCATAGCTGGAGAAGGCTAAATTTTCCTTTTAACAAAGATCCCAATTAAAGCTGGGGGTGGGGAAATTCACAGCTGCAATATGAATACAGACAACAATGTATTGCTTTGCTCCCGTCAATAATAATACTCCCCCGGTTCCTTTTATAAGAAACACAATTAATTTATTAAGGCAAATAAAAAATAGTAATATGTTAAATTGGTAACGAATATTAACTTGTCTTTGGTCAGATATATAAGCTAAACTGCAGATCCATTCAGGTTTCAGAAGGTCATTAGCGTTTGGTTGCTGTAAACATGTTTTTGTTATCCATGGAGGCCCAATTTCTTAACGGAACATTTCAACCGTTCGCACGTTTAAGCCGACAAACAAAAATTGACCAATAAAAAGCCAATAAATAAAGAAATTCGTTCCCATGTTTGTCATTGGCCATGGAAAAATTAAGACAGAGGTTAATATTTGAAAAGGACGTTTGCTAATTTTTTATAATTTCATTTTATGTTATTGGCTCAATTTATTAGCTGTGTAGAAGAAAACGCGCAGACTAAAGCCCCAAAAGGAGAAGAAAACAACTTTAAGTTACTGTAGGGATTCGATGTTTTCGGTCTTCCGACGAGTTCTGATTTTCTATTTCCTCAGCTTTTTAAAGCCTATTGCAAGTCTTTTTCTCTTACAGAAAAGGAAGTGAGAGACAGAACTAAAAACAGAGAAGACTTTTTGCTAAAACACGTGTCTTTTCATTCAAGACTGCAAAAAATCCAAAAGGAAGGCGGTAGATTTCTCTTTTCTTTTTGGTTGGGAGCAAAGTTTTCTGTAAATAGTAGAATTACTGGGTAACTAATTAGCAATCGATGATTATTGTGCTCTAATAATCGATTTATTACATTGATTATACATACATCAGAATGGAAATATTATAGAAAATGATGATAGTTTAGGAAGCGAGAAACAAAGAATATGACAGTATAAAGTTGAAAGAGTATTGAGGAGTATACAAAGGTGGATACAAATGTTTACAGAAATTCTCTCCTCACGGCGGATGCATACTGAGAGCGCCGTATATTTTGCTGCCGCTTCTTGTACACCGTCACTGCCAATACAATCACGCTCGCAGCCACGATTACTCCCATCGCTATCCCTGCCTTCTTGCCCCCGCTCATTCCTCCTCCAGAAGGATTCTCTCCTCTGTCGTCCTCCGCGGCGTGGTTGATTGAGCTACTGTCCGCCGGCGAAGGAGCAGGACTCCGATTCTCCGGAGAAGGCGCCGGCGGAGACGATGGACCTAGGGGTGAACTGGCGGGGGAAGGGTTCGGAGCATGGACCACAGAAGGAGAAGGAGAAGGAGACTCGGCGGGTGAGGGTGAGGGAGAGGGAGAGGGAGACGGTGGCGAATCGGCGGAGACGGCGAGGTGCAGTGAAAGATAGAGGAAGAAGAGAGAGAGAAAGGTTAATGCTACATTTGCCATTGGTTAAACGGAAAAAATGAAGAGAGAATGTGGACCTTAAGAGAAAGAGTGTGAAGCAGAAGATGCAGAGAAACGGTAGATCTGAGTGTGCCACAAGTCACAGCTTATAGCGGTTAACGAAAGAGGGAAGGAAAACACCTCCATATCAAACCCTCTCTTTTGAAAGGGAATTCCACACGTGGCACTGTAAAAATTTGGAAAAGACGGCGCCATTCCCTCCATCAGATAAAAATATAAAAATACACTTTTAAATAATTTTTTAACATATTCTTAATTATTAATTAAAGTTTATTAAAAAATAGATTAACATATAGTTTTAAATTTAAATATCAATAAATATAACTCTGTTAAAATACTCAAGTTGAAGAGATTAATTACTAGCGTGAGTTTTGGTTTACCGTATTAGAGTGCATTAGCTGAAGGAAATGCCAAAGAAATGGAGAAGGGTGTTGAGTGTTGACGCTTATTAATTAATTATGGTATGGTGTCGTGTAGTGTACTTGCTAAGAAAAAGGGGTTTATGTATTTGGACACACACATGCAGAAACGTTTTTCAAGATATGGCAATGTTTGCTTTTCATGCAATTCAGGAAAAAACTTTACATTTTCCATGGCTCTAAATTTAAAATATGATTTAGAAAAGAGGTTAATGTGTGGAACAGAGAATAAAAGATTTTATTCTTATTGCGCACACACTTTTGTTATTCTACCTCAACGATTGAATAAAAAGTGGGCAAAGCTCACACCACTATGCTCCAACTTGAGAATGGTGAAGACAAAGTGTAAATGAGATTAGAGCATTTGTTAACAAATGTAATGAGCACTTGTTCACATTTGGCGTCTAAATATAAGAAACAGAAAAAAATAAAACCTAGTCGTCTCACATTTCCCAAACGTCTATTTGCTTTAAATAATGGAAAGCTAGCAATGATGGGATTGCATAATTATTAGTTTTATAAGAGAAAGGGTTGCTTTACATGAATGTATGATTACAATTTTTTACAAAATTTAATATTTTTAATATAGAATATATAATTTTTATTAATTTAACTGTTAAATTAGGCATTTTTACTTAAATAATATATTTTTTAAAATAATTTCTTAAAATAAAGTTTTTTTAAAACTAATTCCTTGTCTGGTATTTTTTTTTGCCAATTCAGTAGCACTATCGCCCATGGACGATAATAATTTATTATTATTATTTTAATATACTATCACTCTAATATGTCCAATACTGCACTAAAAATTGACACTTGTCGAGATCAGATGAATATCAAATTAAATGAAATGATAACAAAATTTTATTATTATTTTAATGCACTATCATGTATAACATCCGATACTCATAATTTTTTATTATTATTTTAATATTATCATTGCAGAATAACAATTAGATATCTAACTCCTCAAGCATTTCAAGGTTTCTAATTGATCTTGGCAAGGCTCTTAGGTCCGCAAAGTTCTTTCCCAAGTTTAATTTCTGCAAATTAGTTGCAATGGGAAACCATTAAATCTCACTTGTCTATACTTGAGTTCAAATGAGTTTATAGAGTTACCAGAGACAATTGAAAATTTGAACAGGTTGAAGAGCTTAATTGTTGAAACAAACGAGCTTGAGGAACTCCCGTATACAATTGGAAATTGCTCTTCATTATCTGTGCTTAAATTAGATTTCAACTAGCTCAAGGCCCTTGCTGAGGTGATTGGGAAGCTGGAATGGTTAGAGATTCTCATTTTGCACTATAATAGGATTAAGAAATTGCCGTCCACAATGGGTAATCTATCCAATTTGAAGGAGCTTGATGTTAGCTTTAATGAGCTTGAATCTATACTCAAGTATAGACAAGTGGGATTTAATGGTTTCCCATTGCAACTAATTTGAAGAAATTAAACTTGGGAAAGAACTTTGCGAACCTAAGAGCCTTGCCAAGATCAATTAGAAACCTTGAAATGCTTGAGGAGTTGGATATTTAATGGTTATTCTGTAACAATAATATTAAAATAATAATAAAAAATTATGAGTATAGGATGTTATACGACGATAGTGCATTAAAATAATAATAAAATTTTGTTATCGTTTCATTTAGTCTGATCTCAACACGTGTCAATTTTTAAGGCAATATCATACATATTAAAGCGATAATATATTAAAATAATAATAAAAATTTACTATCGTCCATGCATGGGCGATAGTGCTGTTGAGTTGACGAAAAAAAATACCAAACAAGAAAATAGTTTTAAAAAAACCTTATTTTAAGAAATAGTTTTTAAAAAAAATATTATTTAAGTAAAAATGCCGTTAAATTATAAATGTTTAATATACTTTTTTTTATCATATCTTATAAAAGATTTAATAAAAAGTAATCTTTTAGTGAATAATTAATTAGAAATGTTAATTTCATTCCAACTTAAATATATATTTGTTATAATGAATAAATATAAAACAATATTCATCCATAAGTTTTACCTCATTATGTTTCTCTCAACCTATTTTCATATCAACGAAGCATACATTTATATATGAAAAAATATTAAACGCATTACGTCTGTTATTTTATGTTAACATGTGAGTCATTATTGTATTCAGTAATTTTTTAATCCTATAAGAGTGATTTTTCAAAATATATAGCAAACGGTAACCTTTATCTTTGAATGTCCACTATCAAGTGCTGAAAATGTTATAAATTATTTGTTATGCCTTTCATGGATATATTTTTGGTCAACCTTTCTTGGAAATTTCAAACCCCTGAATTCATTCACGACTCTTGCAGAAAGCCCACGAATTGTTTTTGCTCAACCTCCTTCAGTATGAGTAATTCTATTTTTTAAAACTGGTTTGCCAATAAATTTTCAGTCATATTCCTCCCCCTCCCCCCAATTCCATTCTTTATTTTTTTTCCCCCCCATAACTGGTTTGCTTCAATTTCATGCCTGAAAAGTAATTTACTTTCAATTATGTTGATAAACGAATTTTCTTCATCGTAATTAAGCAAGAGTGATGACTAGCGTCCGTGAATTCACTGACTTGATTTGGAGCTAAGAATGTTATTATTAACTTGCGGGTTACACCTTAATTCATTATTTTTTTACCTAATAATGTCAACGTGGTTAACATGACTTTCGTTTAGTCACAAGTTCTTACATAAATTTCAACTCATCACTGCTCTGTGTAGAGTTAAGAATAAATGTGCGTCTACTACTCAAACAACGCAATACTAGAAATGCAGATAGACTGTTTGTTCATCAAGGGATTGTTAGAGAGAACGTTTTTGAAAATAAAGAAAGAAGAGAACATTTTTTTAATTTTAAATTAAAAAATTATATAAATTTATAATAATAAATACATAATGAATATATCAAATTTATGTTAATCAATTATTTTATATTAACATGCGTAGACTTTCATTTTAACTCATCCAAGAATTATCAAACGATTATTTTCTCACGAACAAGCGTGCACAGGCTGTCTAATTAATAACCCTATCAAATAATTAAAAATAGTATAATGACTATATCTCCGCATATGCCATGTGAGTGAGATTTCTTTACGGACATCTATCATTTCTCCTCGTACATAATTATCGATAATGATACAGAGAAGAAAATAAAAGCGTATCAAGTATACGGTCCATAGCAAATTTCGTTATTAAAATTTAGGGGAATTTATTAAAGTCTCACCCAAAAATTCTAAAATACCCACAGTTGTAAAAATTGAAGTTGATGGTAGTAACACATGTTGCCTCGCTTTATCCCCTTTGCAACTCCCTCTCCCCCCTTCTATCGGACAGGGGTGAGAGGAAATAGGTGATATTTTCTCCCTCAGTAACTATGTCACCATAAATAAAAATATCTCACTTAACTCCTCATAATTCATCCTTCCCATCACTATTGCTACTCTGACTCTCTTTGACATCAGAGCTCTCTGTGGCATCAGGGCTCTCGGATTTAGAACTTGAGGTTGGTTTCTGGAGCTTGAATGGAATTGATGCATGTTTCTTTAGGAACTTATAAAAGGCTACCACTGTACGATCAGTGTCAACAGTAATCTGCAGAGACAATGAACCAATTATATATATATATTTCAATCACCCAGTGATAAAGCTTAAGCAGATCTCATACACACGCATAGAAGCATACGCATGTCGAGAATGGCTGAATTGATAAAATATGTACTGTTGTTTAATATTTCACATACAGGGTCAAAACTCTTGTTTCCTGCTGGGAAGAAGAGAAGAGTGGGGAATCCATCAGGCTGCAAAATGAAAACAAAACAATATTGATCAATAAATTCTCACATATTTCATTACTCAGTACAGATGAATCCATGAATAGTATAATGGCTTCTGATTTGATGCTGGATTGAAAATTCAAGACCTAGCTTGAGTTGGACCCAATTCCACATGCTTGCGATTAAAATTAGGGTTTACCTTTGCCCTGGGATGCTCATTTGTTGTTCCATCCATCTTGGCTATAACAATAGACTCAATACCACGAAGATGTTTTGCAAGCTTGTTGTATATTGGTTCTAGTGCTTGGCAATGGCCACACCAGGGAGCATAGATCTGACTCCAACAAGCATTTTAAACATGAGCAAGGTGCAGATGCAAATATGACTCATAACTTGAAGGGTTGAAATTGTACCTCAAGAAGAACATCCTTTGACTCATCCAAAACAATTTCATCAAAGTTATTCCCAACTACTATTTTCACATCACCATCATTCTGTCGCCAAGTTAGAAAACATGTTAGACATGAAAAACCAAGTTAATGGGACAAATTTGACTGGGGGGAAAAGAAAATAACGTACACTTTCAGGAACTGGATCTGACTTGAAAAAAGGTTTTAGCTTGTCTTCAAGGAAATCTTCCCCAAATGCCTGTGAAGACATGAAGATTTGAAATTTTAATCAAAAAATTGCTTTCAAACCTTGTTAATGATAGAAAAGAAGTATACCTGCACATCGCCTAACATGGTCACAAAATTAACGGAGGGAGAAAATATTACCTTAATTTTGTCAACAGTCACCTCTCCATCAAACACAAATTTTTTTCCATCATCATTTCCAGTGTATGCAAGTACCTATATTGGAAATTCCACTGGTTACATAATATACTTCCAAATGATTTAAAGTATACAAAATGTTAAGGTCATGAATTTCAAGACTTATCATTTAAATAAAATTAAAAGGGGCAAGAAGAAACAATTACTTTTGGAGCACTCCCACTGATACCAAAGTAATCTGAAACAGGCTTTCCAACATCTTCATTATCCATTTCCACATATACAAAGATCAACTGCAACAGATAATTGCACACATAATTTAATCAGTATCAAAATCTAAGTAGTTAAGTACCCTTTTGGGGCAAGAGCTGGATGAAAGATATATAAGTTTTTATCACTGAAACGTAAAAGGTAAATTTTAGTATTTCCTATACATAAAATGATATATGGTATTTGTTTTATCAGTAAAATGTAGCAAAGCCAGAAAGAAAGAACAAATTTCGGATATGATAATTAGGCACAAGTTAAATGCTAAATTCAAATGATGTTCAAAATAGGGGTTAGCTTAGAAACGATTCTGTTTTGCAATTTCTCCCGTACTCATTTGGACCTAAAACTAATAAATAAGAACTTGGTTTCAAATTTTCAGTGATTAGCAAACACATTAGATTTTAAAACCTACTTCTTTATACCTAGTTGTCAGTTCGTATAAGTTTGGAAAACAATGCCACAAAAAAACTACATCCACCATTTAACTCAATCCCATGCCACCTTAACTAAATGTCATGAACTCCATCCTCAATCTATTTTCAGAGCCCACTTAGCAGTACCGTGCGCCTGAATTCTTATGAAAAGCAATGAATTTTATTTTATTTGCACTGTTCTGAATTCTGAAATAAAAGGCATAATGTCTAGAGAAATAATGACACAACAGAGAGTAATAATTAGTAGCCTGTACTAAAATATACCTTTCCCTTGAAAGATTTTGATGCTTCTTGAAATACTGGGATGAACTTCTCTGAATCATTTGAAGTCGCAAACAGCAACAACTAAAAATGAAGTTTCAAACACATAACAATGTTAGTTATCAAGAATATTTTTCTTAAGAGATTACAATTTACAATACAGTAAGACACATGAAAATAAGTACCTACCTGTTTCTTGATTGGATTTTCAAAGACTGATGGGGCACTTTCTCTAGTAAAAATAGTTACCAAAGGAAGCTTGTTGGAGAAGACAAAATCTGCTATTGCCGACTTAACAAATTGCCCATCTGAAGACACAGAGTGAAAATACATCAAGTTTACAAGAAAAGGGAAGGCAGCATTAAGGGAAACAGATATTAAGAATGAGAAGTTAAACAAACCAAAGTGATTCAGTTTTTCCTCTTCTTTCTTTATCAGAATTAAAGCCGGGCGTTTAACATCTGGGTCAATATGGAAAAGTTTTGCCACATCAGGATTCACAGTTTGATAGAAATTGACATCATCCTCAAGCCTTGAAGCAGCAGCAAGCTCCTCACTTTCAGGACCCTGCACATCATATCTCACAGAATAAATAATAACGAAGCATAAAAACCAACAATTTCATACATTCAACTATCACAGCTCAAGCCAAGCCTGTCATTTAATCCAATATGAATATAACGAAATTATCTTAAAGAAATCTGAATACTTACAACTAGAGAGTTGAGAAAGCCCAAAACAATTTTACTTTCATTGGTCAATATGCGTTGAGCATCATCCAATGTAGTTATATTGTGTATACCAGGCCCTACCTTCTTCTTAATCCACGTCACTATAGCATCTCTGTATTCCAATTAAATCCAAAAAAATAAAAAGTTAGATCCAATAAGAATCAAAATTATAATGAGTAAAAAAAAATAATTATATATATATATATATATATATATATATAGAGAGAGAGAGAGAGAGAGAGAGAGAGAGAGATACTTGGTTCTGTGGCCATGATAAGGCTTGTGAATGCCATCAATGAAGAAGTAGATAGTGGGAAAACCCTGAACATCATACTCTTGAGCCAATTCATTTTCCTCAGTGGCATCCACCTTTGCCAAAATGACATTTTCACCCTTCAACTCAGTGGCGGCGGCGGCATACTCAGGAGCCAAGGCCTGGCAGTGACCGCACCATGGCGCGTAGAATTCCACCATCACGAAACGGTTGTTTTTCACAAAGTCGGTGAAATTCTTCTCCTTCAAAACGACGACGTCCTTGTCGTCCACCTCAGGCTCTTTGTATGTCTCCTCGAATCCCGAGAAGTCGTCGAAATTGGCATCGTCGTCGAAGTGGTCATGGCTGTAATGCGAATTGGAGGGTTCATCGGGTTCGTCGAGGAAGCTTAGATCCTCATCGTCGGCGAGGTCTTTGCAGAGGATCGGAGAGAAGGAGGAGAAGAAGAGAAGGGTTACGAGCGAAAGCAGAACGAAGATTCGCATTGTTGAAGTGAAAGGAAGAGATTGAGATTGCAGAAACGAAGAGAGATCTGTGTATGACTGAGAGACAGAGTTGACTTTCAATGGAACGGAAATGAAATCAATACTCCTTCTTCTCTACGACGCCGTTTCTTAGGTCAAAACAATCTAAACCTCATAAATATCTGTATCCTCTTTACCAGTAAATCAAATTAACACAAGTAAATGCCCGAATAAATATACTATAAATAAAGTATTTTTGTACGTTAGCTTTTGGGATCTGTCAAAATTGATAAATCAGAGCGAATTACCATGTCTTTAATTGTACCTACTCTCTAAATTATTAATTAATTAAATACTATTTTAAAAGTAATTATTGTAAAAATTAATTATTTCAGTTATTGATCATGTTTACTTTTAATATATTAGTAGTGTAAGAAATTATACTATTAATTAATTAAAATTTATACTTTTTAAAACGTTTTCATAAAAATAGTAATTTTTAATTATATAATAATTTATAATTGAATAATAATCTATATTTATCAGTATATTTTAATTGGATTTTTATTTATAGATATTACAAGCAGAAAGTAACAAAAGAATATCTAGTTCAAAAAAGTGAGAGTAGTAGGAAATTAGACGGAAAATGCCGTGGGTAGCAATTAGGTATTATGACACAACGTAAAATTGGTTCCCGGAGTCAGTAATGTTATTTTTATATAATTTTTTCACAATAATATTTGTAATAAAAGATAGATAAAAATGATAAAATATAAATAAAATAAATAATATAATAAAGTGTTGTAAAAGATATTATCAAAATAATGTTATTTTATTTTAATTTAGAACATTATTAATCTTTATTAAAACAAAGTAACGTTTGAATATAGAATCGCCGGAATTTCATTTAACTCATTAAAATTAGCAAATCAAGTTGAATATTTTAGATTTATTAGTCTATATAAGTTATCCCATTTTAGGTTGTTAAAATGTAAGTAAACAACAGATTAAAATAGATTAGTTTGTTGAGCTTTTTTTATTTTTAAAATTTAAAAATAATTATTTATTAATTAAATATTAATTTTTATTGATATAATTATTTTAAATTTTTTTAAAACTAACTCATTAATCTAACAGTTCATCAATTTTTTTATTTTTATTTTTTAGTTTATGGGCAACCAATTCTTAAAATAAGCTGAACTAAAAAATTTAACTTATTTTTAAACAAAGCAAGCTTAAGTTAATCTATTTTTAAATAGACTTTTGACAGATAAGGTAAATCAAAACGAGCTGACCTATTTTGTCACTTTTATTTGAAAGCTTATCATTTTTTACAAAACAAATAAATCGTTTATTAAAACTTTTTTAATTATTTTAAATTTTAAAATTAGTACTTAATACAATATGAATTAATTGACATATAGTTATTTTAATATAATTTGTGATCTCAAATTCAAATTTTAATAAAATACAGAAAGTTTGAGCTTCAATAAACAATCTAAAAGATAATTTAAAATTGTGTTATAACAACTTTTATTTCACTAATTTATAATTTTAAACTTACATTTTTTTCTATTTTTTATGATAATTTATCTTGTTAAAATATCTCCTTCTTCTTGTATATATTAAATATTCAGTTATATTAAGTTAATTTTTTTGTTATATTTAAACAGAATAATATAATATATATTCAAATATGCTTATTTTACAACAATAATAATAATAATAATTCAGTGGTTAAAAATTTTATTTGTAGATTATAAGCATGAGTTTCAACCTGTTAAGGCCAGTTCAAGACAACAGGTTTAGCAGAGAAAAAACTGTCTTTTTATAGTATCAATAAATTTAAAATAAAAGATAATAAATGCGATATTTATGTTAATAATAATATTATGGATCAAATATCATCAGATTGTGTGGGATAAATTTGAAAATATACACCCCTTTCGCACAAATTTATAATTTTATTTACTTTAAATAATGTAATAATTACAAATGAATATCCTTCCAGCACCAATTAACCTCAACAACCATAGCAATGATAATAATTGTGCACCAAAAAATTGCTTATTGAAAGAGTTCACTCCCAAGGGTCACTGCACCAATCTCCTCGTTGAATTGAGGAACAATTTCTCTTTGAATCCGCTCTAACTCATGCACAATTTGTGCCATTGATGGTCTTCGAGAAGTCACATCCAAACACAGCAACGCCAACTTTATCATTCGTGTAGCAACATGCTTTTCTTGGTCTCCCAGCGTTACGTCAACAAAGTTGTCCAACTCAATGCTATTTTTTGCCTTCAAATTAGTTGAAGTTAGGATGAGTAAGCATTCATCAAGTCTAGAAGCATGTATGTATAGATATACCTGAAATACAAGATTTTCACGTGGGTGTGACATGTTTCTGTTATGTGCTTCACAGCCACTAATCAACTCTAGTAAGAAGACCCCAAAACTGTATACATCACTTTCCTCCGAATAGTTTTGTGATAAGTTCAACCTTTAAGACAAAAACAAAATCTAAAGACCCACGTAACAATAATCAACTAGGAAAATCCAAAAAGAATAAGAGAGTTGGATTCAAAGGAAAAATTGTAGTTGTAGCATACTCTGGGTCAAGGAAGCAGTCTATATTTGAAGATGAACCAGCTTGATCAACTTTTGATTGAAATTTGGAGAATCCATAATCAGAAACCTTGGCTGTATAATTTTCATCTAACAGAACATTGCTAGTTCTAAAATTTGTGTGAACCAAAGGAGGGACCAAACTGTGAAGATGTTCCACTCCTGTTGCAAAGTAGAGACTGAATTTAATGTTTTGAATACCAAAGATGACAAAAAAAAAAAATCATAGCCAAGATGGTTGTACCTTTGGATGCACCTAAAGCAATAGATAACCTTCTCCACAAATCTAATCTTCCAATAGGCAAACCTTCATTGTCTACATAACCACATGCATTAAGCACAAAAGATACAAAGCAAGGTGAAACAAACTTCAGAGAAAGATAGAGGAGTACCATATAGATGATTCCCCACGTTACCATTAGGGAGATATTCATAAACAAGTAATTGTTGATAGCTATCTTCATAATAGCCAATAAGCTTGACAAGATGAATGTGGTGAATGTGACCTATCTGATTCACCTGTCAGCAGTTGAAAGAAATCAAAATACTTGGTGAAAGCTTTCTAAACCTTTATAATGGCTTCTGCTGATTTTTGTAGAATGAATTATGTGGAAATATTGGAACTAAGAATGCTACATTTCATTACATATTTTATACCTCGCGGATGAAATCCCGTGTCACAGTAAATAGACGCCTTTTTATAGCCACAATAGATCCATCTTGAAGCAAGCCTTTGTATACAAAACCAAATCCACCTTCACCTATAATATTATTATGACTGAAGTTTTGTGTAGCTTGTTCTAGCTCCAAAATTGTTAACTGCCTTGTGTTCTGCGTATAATGTGAAGAGAAAGCATTAACATACTGCGAGTTGTTGACTCTTCCCATCTCAACTGTCAAAAAATAACACCAAAGTAATCACAAAGAAATGAATCAGAATTCTGGATAGATAATAATATTTACAAAATTAATTATAAAGGAGCTCAAATTAACTTACAAGTGGGAGAAGGCATAGAAGAAGCAGTCTCAGATGCTTGCCTCATAAATCTTTTAACACGCATCAAGCAGATATAGACAATGACTACAATGACAATGATGATTGAGGCAGCAACAACACTACCAACTATGGAAGCAGTCCTTCTTCCTCCTGGTTTTTTAACTTGAACTTCTTGAAGGGGTGTGAGAGTTGGAATGTCATTATTCCCTTCTATCTTTGCTGTCATTCCACCTGTTTCTCAAGTAGAGAGCTTTTCTTACCATTCTTATGATTGAGCTGGAATTTTTCAAGGAGAACATTTAAAGTAAAAAGAGAAAATTTTTGTTGTTGAGTCAAAAGAGGACACAGATGAACTGTTTAACATTCCAAACCTTAAGTTACAAAAATTGAAAAACAAATATGGATAGCAATGACTCCTATATCTCCTTTATAACAAATGAGAAACAAGAGTAAGGATAGTAACTTGTGACCTGGAGTTCACGAGTTCTTCTCACTAGGTGAGAGTCTCATGCACTAAGTTGCACTTCTTTTTACACTAGTATTGACTCAATTTCAATAAATTACTAAGGTCATGGGAATAGTATAATTGGAAGTAAGGAATGACGATAACTAATCATTTATTTTCTACAAATTTCAACATGCTCCATGGAACATAATGAATGATCAATATTTTTAGCAAAAATATTCTGGACCGAACCTCAATGTTTTACCAATTCCTCACAATCAATCACTATTCATTACACTCAAATTCAGAGAGGAGAGAAGGAGCTTACAGAGAATTTGAAGAAAAAAGCACCTGGATCTTTTAGTTTATAGCAGTCAAGACAAGGCCATTGCATTTGACATGGATATTTCACAATGCTGCATCCGAATTGCTGTGGACCTCTAAGCGAACCCTTGAAAGTGAACAAAGCCTCAGCTGCAGTCAACAAATGTGTAATTCAGCAATTGTTACCAGAGAAATAATTTGCTCTCCCATATTCTATGCCCTTTTGAAACTAAAGATGATATCTAACTTGAAAGCCAATGTGCACATGAGAAAACGGAAACATAGGTGATACTGAAGTGGTCTAATTTAGAGCCTTCTACCCAAGTTCATTCATAGCTTGCAAATTGGAATACCAAGCCAGTAACACTTGAACTTCAATGAATTACGCACAAAGATCATGGCAAATTCACTCATTTTTTTCTCCAGTTCCTTAAAACTTTTTGATAGAAAAAACTTGTTCATCAATATGATAGAAGTAGGAAAAATAGCAAAAGCTTACCGTATAATTTGTAGGTTGATTTGTTGGGATATAAAAGTTGAATCAGAATGAGTAGGGGCAGCCTTAGACCCCATAGCAATCGCATTGTCAACATGCATCACCCTATGAACTCCTTATGAGTTCTCAGTTTCAGTTTCTGCTTGTTGCTTTTACAAGCAAAGGCATCAAACTCGCCTCTGAAAAATCCCTAATCCACGCCTACATATATAGTTCCAAAAGACAGTCATGAAATATTAAGAAGAAACTCTCATTCTTATGAGCCCTTCAAGAGACATAGTAAAGTATACACTTATTCAGAGTGCGAAAACAAATCTGAAACATGAAATAAATAACACCAAGCTTTACAGAAAAACTAGCATACAATAATGAAGAGACCACAAGGTAAACTAACCTTATTAACTAGAAATAGCACCGAGGACAATGTTCATGAATGAACATACCAAGAAATGTAATGAACTGCCACAATAGGAATAGATTATAGACAATAAATGGCCTTATATAGTGGTTAAAATTGAGAAAGAATTGAACTCACGCTTTGCATGCTTCTGGAGTAAGTTACATATTTACCAAGGAGATGTAGGAGTAGTAAAGAGAAGTAATAATAGAAGTGATTGAAAAGGGAAGGTTAGAGTAAGAGTCTAGTCTCTAGCATTAGCATCCCAAAAATTCAAACAGTGGTCTTGGTTGACTATAAGTATACATCCAGCTAAGAAAGGCAACAAGAAAAGCTGGAAAACGCTTTAAACAGGTTGTCTTCATTGAAATGGACAGGTGGAATTGCTGGTTTCTATTGAACTTTGTTAAGCCCCCCATCAGGGAAATGGGATTTCAAATCCCAAAATATTCCTAAGGAATCTCAAAACCTGGACTGAGAGCCTAGTGATTTCCAAGCACTGATGAAAGAAAAAGAAAAATATATTCAATTACCCAAATCCATTTACCTGTATATCCCACTGGTTTTCAGAAATATTTGCCAGGTTCATCCTCAATTACCTGCAAGGCATTGAAAATAGATTCAGCAAAGTTCAAAAGGCTAATTACTTTTTACAGAACCAAAATCAGGATTTTATTATTACACATTACAGCATAGTTTGTCCTTGAAGGAACAATGAGAGCAGAAAATGATAAATGTGGACCATGGTAAAAGCATAAAGTGGTGATTCTCAGTAAGGTAAACTACAAAAGCCAAAAACATGATCTTTGTCAGGATAGGCTCATGGAATATTAGATCTCTAGAAAGAGTTTGGCTAAAGCACACAGTACAACTAGAAAGTGGCAAATTATGATGATAATTCAGGTTGTATCTATAACTGATTTGAGAGATATAATTCAAAGAAAAAATGAAGGTCATCATTTACAGAACATTGCACAACAAAAACAGTAAGAGGAGAGAGAGAGAGAGAATCTGTACATCAGTACAGTACAAGGTAAAAGGCTTATTTCTAAGGCACCAGCTCCTACACAAGACCACATTCACTGTTTTGCTTGCACATTAGTATTGGAGGAAAAGAGTTCCCACTTCTCAGATAGCAGCCACTACAAATGGTGGAAACAATCCCATTCATACTTTCAGGGAGATGCTTCTTGCAGCCAAATCATTATATCCATCGTGAGTCGTGACTAGTTGAGAATGAGATCTTTGAATTTCTATCTTGTTTCACGTGTCCTTGGAAAGACCCCTCTGACTAATTGACCTTACTAGGATGTACCTTAAATTGAATAGTAGAAAGGTATAATGACTTTAATTAAACCTATACATAATTAATGAAAATGCAACCTGAAGAACTGTTGAACTATGGTAGTTTTCCTATAGAATAGTAAACAATGGCTTAACCATTTTATTTTAATCTGAATAAATAGAAGCCCCCACAAATGTATAAAATAAAATGCATAGCTATCTTTGTAAATGAAATATATACATTAATGACAATTCATACTGAGATTGATTTGGGTTTACTAGTTGAGAATGAAGGTGTGGTGTGTCGGAAAACAACACCATGGGAATACGTGTGCATGCTGAAAAGGTTGTTATTAAAATGATCTCTCACTGTGTAAAAGGGTAAGAAGAAGTGATGTTGAGTTAAAAGGATATGGACACGAGAGAAACATCCTTGATGCTAATAAAAAAGGACAATGAGACTTCTGGTTTCAATGGAGAAGTCTGTTACACGATGCTGACTAGAGGGTGTTTGTGGGGACCGTAAGTCAAAATTTTTCAGCAGAAGAGAAACATCACATGAGAAGAAGGAGCTGCACTGGTCAATTGCCTAGTACCTATTGCCAGGGAACTCACATGCCCAAAACTTTTGTCCTCACTGCACAAAAAAGATTATGATTATGCCCCTTAGCAGCAAATTCTTCTAACATCACCACACCTTTTATCTAAAATTAAATATTAAGTGAAAATATTGAGACATTCAATGTCTTGAATAATTTTTGTATTTATTAGTTTCATTTTAATTATTTCCTCTGGTCCATTTTAAGCGTTGTTTTAGTGCAAAACACAAAATTAAGATACACAAAACCAATGTTTAATTATACTTTTCCTTTACTGAATCATTTCGATTATTCTATTTCTAACAATTAATCGCTATTAGATTAGGATAGAATTGGGGACAAAATATCAAGTAATATTTTATTGCAACGTGAGAATATGGCTAATAATAGACTACTATTTTTATCTTTATTTTTGCATCTAAACGACGCTTATAGCCGAACCAAAGGGAGTAACACTAAGAGTAAAAAGTTTAGGTAACTCATTAGAAAGATTTTTCGCTAACCGCAACATTCATTCAAATTCCATGATATAGATTTTTTATATATATCCCAAACTCTTTCTTTCGTATGAGTTTTAGTTTTCTACTGAATGGAGGGAATATTATGAATTTCCTCGTTAAATTAATTCGTTATTCAATTGATTAAAAAAAAAAAAAAAGACAGATTGACTCGTTGATACAAATAAAAAACGATGGGCTGAACCAGTTTATTTTTTTGGGCCGAACCAGTGATGAGGGCTTGTTTTAAAATAGCCCAATAGCTAACTGCATCTGAATCTGTACGCCGAAACAACGGCGTATACGCTCAAGCTTTCACCGTAGATCCATTTCCAATGCCCAATCTCTATCTCAGAATGGTGAATAAACAGTTGACGTAAGAAAGAAAGAAAGGTGAATAAAAAATGTTTTTCATTTACTTTATATTCTGTTTTTTTTTTCACCGAAACACGAATAATTCATTTATATCAATAACAAAAAATTACTTTATATTCATTTATATTAATAGTCGGTGCGTAATCTTCATGACCCTCGCCTTTCATTTTAATTCACTGACATATACTTCTTTCATTTCAAATTTTCTATTCTTTAAAGAAATTTATATATTTCAAAGCATTTATTATTTGATGAACTCTATAAAAATGATACGCGAGCATGCTATTCCTTAGTACTTGATCTTATTTTACATTTTAAAGTCTTAAACGGTGTACATGGCGCATGATATTTTTTAGAACCCAAAAATTCTTACACCACATGTTGCCTTTCTATCTTCATTGAATAATGAAATTGGAAACCTCTGATATTGATGACTATTAGACAAGATCGAAATTTGAATCTGATTACTATCAATATGTCATAATAGTAGATACACGGCTAACAATACACACGTTAAATAAGAAGATTAAGGCATGGAACTAAATAGTAAAAAATTAGAAAGTGAGATATAGAAGTGGAGGGTCGGGGATTATATTATATTATATTATATTATATGGCTTGTTCTGTTGTAAATCTAAGGTAAGATTTTGAATTATAGAAGACTAGGCATATCAAACATCTGGTTGAACACTTTTATTGGCTTTGGCTCTACTCATGTTGACTCGTCTAGTGACCCTTACGTGGTAGATTCCCATTGCCAAAAGCACAACAAAAGCAACACCAAATATAATGCCCGCTATGCCACCACCTCCCAGTTGTTTCCTTCCATTTTGGGGTGTTGATGCTTTGCTTTCATGAATTTCAGTGGCTTCCACTTGGGCAGCTAAAGGAAAGGGTGAACATTTGGATTCGGCACATGGGTCTTTGGTCTCGGGCTTTCTTCCATTGGGATGAAAGAAGCTATATGCTGATGGTGAAAAGGCTTCTGGATTCTCGTAAACAAGCCCATGAGGGGCTCTTTCTTGGGCTATAACAATTGAGATAATTGCAAGAGAAACAAGGGAGAGGAGGGAAAAACCAATGGGATTCATGTTTGTTTTGTCTCCTTGACTTGGGAGGGATGAAAACTTGTGGGTGTGTCGAATTGGCTTTTATAATGCTAAGGTCATGAGGTGCAGTGGTTGTTCCTTGGACCTTAATTTTTGTGTGGGAAAAGGAGGCTAGTGAATGGGAAGCATAATTATGAGCTTAGCTTTCAGAAGACCCCAACATTGAATTCTCACAAATCCCAACACTACCCTCGGTTGTGGTTAAATATTGCTCATGTTCAGATTTGTTTGATGTTATTCCTTATTTCAATTGATCAATAATTTTTTTCTATTTCTTTTTGATGGTATGCTGATAGTGTAACAGATGTAACAACTCTTAACTACTTCTTTATTCCAATCCATGTTGCCTCTAGTGCCACTAAACTTACCAACATTTCTTTTGGTAATTCTTTATCCATGTCGATTTATTCTCCTTCTTGTTTCTCATTGTTGGCCTTTGATCGCATGAAAAATGGTTGTACTTGTAAAATAAGTATATTGATTGGAATAGCTTGGGCATAATTGTCATATAGCCTCTAAGAATTTTATCATTTTGTTATTGGAGTGAGGAGGGACTGAATGTTTGGTTCATGTGCCCTACTCAAATGCATCCAATTATACGAGTAATTAGGGACTAGGGGATATATGATTCAATAATAAATCAACCATCCTCGCAGAGTTAAAACAATAATCATTCACTTGTCGTAAAACCCTCACTACGTAATGCGTATATGCATAGCATAATTAGCATTCATGCAATGCATTGGTTATTGGTTGTGTTACAAACTCACCCTTAATTATTCACGTACGTGTTAGTAGTCAAATATAATTTTGTGAACTCTTAATGGATTGTAAAGAAGCAAGAGGCTTAATGAATGCCAATGGCCACTATGTTAATGAGAGGATTTAGCTTTGCTTACTCGCTACGTGGAAAAAGAAAAGTAATTAAAGCATGGGGCTACCTTAGCTTAGAGGGGCAGCAAAGGCACATAATTGTGAAGGCACAGAGCGCATGCAAGAGGTGAATAGTATAAATGTGTTCTTCTCCCGCACGGCTTTCATATATGTGAATATGATGTGTTAACCATGCCTACCCTTTGTGCCTTTTCTCCTTTTGTACCTCTACTAGTAATGTTACTCATATCACCATCAACATATATCATTAATTATCTTATATATAATGTGATTTTTATCGTATAACTATCTATTTATCTTTGTTATTTATATCAAATTTTATCAAAGTTGAATAATTATAAAAGCATAATCATCATGACGGGAATTTTTTAAAACTTTATGAAGATCAAACCAACAAGATCAACCTGAAATTGTGTTTTTTGTTTTTAATCATGAGGTATAACTCTAGTTTTTTAAACTTCTGGTGAAGAGATATAACTAGTATATCTGTGAAAAATGAATAACATATTGAGAGGGAAGGGGGATCATGAGGTAGCCCACGCCACTAAACTTAATTATTATGGGCCTAAAGTTTTAGAACTCTGATACCACGTGTTCTGTTGAATCTTTTTTTTGTCAAATAAAGATATGGGCCCAAAATGTGGGACTTGGGCCCCTATCAAGTGTGTTCTACCATATCCGTTTGATAATGCTCTCCATTGTCAATTTCAGATTGCAAAATCCCATTGCATTTTGCCTCTCTGCATCACTTTGTTATTGTAACCTACACCATATTTATCCATTGTTTAATTTCACCATAAGTTCACCAAAAAAGAGAAGTTTTCACTATAAGTAGCGTTTCCACAACATCCATCTTGTCTTGTTGTCTATTATTGGCATTTATGATTTTCTAATTCACTCTTTAACCAAACTCGACAAAACGAATTCAATCTGAAGGTAAAACCAAAGTTGTTGTTAATCAATGTCTTCTAAGAAAATGCTAATAAACTTTTTATAAAAAAAACAAGTATATTAACAATGTTTTTTAATATTCTTTATTTAAAAATTCTTAAAATACTTTGTTACATTTACTTAAAAGTAATAACTTAGGGGAGGGAAAAAAATAAAAACACCAGAAAGAGAGTGACAATGTCAGATTGACAGAGAACTAATTATGAAATGATGCCAAATTTCATAAATACTCAAATAACGTGGAAATTAATAACACTAGTATTATTATGACAATGAGGGCTCCCTCCCTATCTCTGTCTCTACTCTGTACTGTCCCACTTAGGACCCCACTTCAATAATCCATACTTTTGATTGTAAATAAAACAACTAAGGTGCACGAAATCATAGAGCATACAAAATAGCCAGAAAATGCCAGGGACATAAAACATGGCAAAGATAAGTATATGTTAGCTCATCAATCTATTATATGAACAGTGGGCACAAAATAAGGGAATATCCTCAATGATCAACCTGCGTGTTTACTATTTTTCTTTCGTTTTTAAAATTTTCTTCCATACTATATTACCATGTTCCTTGCAATTATGATGAATTTAAAAAAAACACAGCTTTATCTCATGTTCGATTCCTCCACCACAAAAACCGAGTCCGATAATTTTATAAGGTGGGAGCATTTATTTACAATGATAATATAATTTTGATCTCAATAGTTTAAGACATTAGGATAAGCATCCAAACATAAATTTATTATAAATGTTTTGAGTACAGTTGTCGAGATGATTAGTTCCTTAATTTGAAGGTTCAGGAAGCTTATAGTTACGTATTTACTTGTAGCTTGATAATGAAAGCACAACAAATTTTTGCCTATTGGAAACGCCACTTACTTTCGTCCTTATCCGTTTTCTAGTCTAAAAGGCTATGATGAAGGATAACACTTTACCAAATTCTAAAAGATGAGAGAGAACTGAAAGAGAGTTGTAGAATTATGCATTTGGATTAGACTACTTTTTATTTAAAATTTTTGACAAAATTATTATTATAGTTTTTAAAAAACAAAAGAATCAAAAGTGAAAATTACAACCTTGCTTCTTGTGCAGCATTCCAAATGAAATAGTTATCTTCCTAATCGATCACACCTCCCTGCTCCGAGATCAGAATTAAAATAAAGGATTTGTGTGTTCTTCCATAGATGCACACTCAAGTGTTTCCAAAATTCCACTTGAAAAATAGCTATAAGAGGAAGGGCTTACAAGTCATTTCATTACCGGAGCAGCAATAATTAAGTGTGGAAAACTTGATTACTAAAGTCAATGTTGATGATTAAGGAACATAGGCAATGACACTGGTAAATTTTGTGCGAAAGCAGAAGATAATAAAATACACCACTCAGATGAAAATGAAATTTTGGCTAATGATCATGCACCAGATTATATAAAAACGAACACATGAGAAATACTTGAAAAAAAAAAAGAACTAAAAACAAAAGGGATACAAATACACCCTCAGACATAAGCATGCTTATCTACAATTTCAAGACCCCACGGTATTTGGCTTTCACCCCAAAAACCCAAGGGGCTAAGAAGAAAATCCAAAAGGAACACCAATAGGGACCCGTAGACAGACTTGAACTGGCACTGTTATTCTTTGGGGAGACATAGAACAAGTCATAATTGAGGCAAAGCCAGTGTGAAGAAGCTTCTTCATTAATTAAGCGTTGCTCCGGAAGGATCCAAGAGCTTTGATTGCAGCAGCTCTAAGAATATATTGATGGTAAAACGCAGCCGCCGCAGCTCCAACAAATGGTCCAACCCAATAAATCCACTGAAAACAATCACAACACATATAAATTACTCTTACCAAAATTATAACGCTTGTTCAGCCAAAAAGTAAAAAAATTAATAACCCTTTATCTCTCTCAATTTAAAAACTATACAACATAAGCAAATTTAAATTTCACTGTGGATGTGAAGACTTTATTAGTATACAATAATAATGCTTTGTAGCATCACCCAAACTTAATTATGTTAAAAAAATAATTAAACACTTACTTGGTCGTCCCATGCTTTGTCCTGGTTGTAGATCACAGCTGGTCCAAAACTCCTTGCCGGGTTAATGCCAGTACCAGTGACAGGAATTGTACCCAAGTGAACCATGAACACAGCAAATCCAATGGGAAGTGGTGCCAACACCTTTTATTTATTTATTTCATTTCATGGTTAATTAAGTACTGAGTGAGTAAGAAAAACACTTATAAAAAAAAGACCAAATAAGTAACAACGAATGCTTACAGGAACATGAGAGTCTCTAGCGCTCCTCTTAGGATCAGTGGCGGAGAAAACAGTGTAAACAAGGACGAAGGTACCAATAATCTCAGCACCCAAAGCGGTTCCTTTGTTGTACCCATCGCTCACAAGGTTAACTCCTCCTCCATACCTATTGTAGTAAGATTTTTGGAACCCCTTTGCCAACCCAGCACCACAGATTGCACCAGCACACTGTGCTACCATGTACAACAACGCCCTTATAAGCGACACCTTACGCCCCAGGAACAACCCAAATGTCACTGCAGGGTTGATGTGTCCTCCTAATACACCAATTTAATACATAAAACAGTATAAGTATACATAAATATTTCATACAACATATGGTTTTGAAAAAAAAAATTCAAGTCACTATGTCTTACTTTATTAATATGAATATAATTTTTATACGTACCGGAGATACCGGCGGTGCAGTAAACAAGGATGAAGATCATGCCACCGAAGGCCCAAGCTATGCCCAAAATCCCAACGCCGTCACATTCGGTGTTACCGCTAATGGTGGTATCACTCTGTCTCTTGTAGCCAATAATGGTCAACACGGTGATGTAAAGGAAGAGAAGGGTTGCTATGAACTCAGCTATGGCGGCTCTGTACAAAGACCACTTTGTCAACTCTTCTACGTCGATCAACGGCGCCGGAGGTGGGTCATGGTAGTCCTTGGCGGAGTATTCTCCTTGCTCTGCGACCTGCTCAACGTCTTTGGCCATTTTTCTGTGTGTTCTATGCTAAGGAGGAATGAGTGTGCTGCGTAGCTACTGTGTGTTTATGGTGAGGGTTGAGAAGAAGAAAGATGGTATTTAAGGAATGAAAGAGAGAGGATTTTAGTGAATGAAATTAATAATTAATTGTAAGGATTTGTGGAATCATGAAAAGAATTGCAAGGTTTTGTATTTATTCGAGATTATGTGGCAACAATGACATGATTAACGTATTTTTTTGCCGCCCTATTACCTTGATTTCGCTTGCATGGCCCCACTCTACTCCTTACCTTACACTCTCAACGCTTCTATGTATATCCCTTCATTTTGAGAAGCAATTATCATTTCTCTTTTTATATAATGTGACCTAAGATATATTGTTTATTCAACGGTTAAATATGATTATTGCCAAGTCTGTAAATTGTGAAATAAAAAACTAATTACCTCTTTTTCGCATTTCTTTAATTAAAAATCACGTTTAAATGAAGAATAATATTTCATTATTTTAAAGTCAAATAAGCAACGAGCATTACAACGGTCCGAAGCTTTTCCTGTCCACTGATTTTGGATAAATTGAATCAATTAATGTGCATTGATTTGACGACAATCTATTGAACTTGGTAGCATAAAAGAATCTGAAACATACTGTATAACTTTAATATATGAATCTCAAATAATCTCATTGCACATAGAAAACTAGAGTTTTCTAGAGTCCAGATTATTTTATTTTATTTTGTCACATAAATTAAAGTTATGTATATCATGCTAGAACTTTCTAACACTCCAAGGTAATTAGTGGCTAAGAAATATTAGCATAAAAAAATAGCAAGACATTAAGGTATCTTGTGCTGGGAAAGAAATGAAAGCTATCAAATCATTAATTATTTTGAGTGATATGTAATTGTTGATGTGATTAAAATAAGAAGAAAAGTAGTTGTCACTTTTGTTGGGTGACGAAGGGTTGCCAGATAAACTTATCTGGACGTACCTAAAATCAAATGAGCTCTGAACAAATGTGCGATTCATCTTATCCTCTTCACAATTATAAAGCCACCATCTGTAGTTAATTAAAAAGTTTAAATCACTATAACTATTTTCAGCTGGGTTTTCTACACTATTTCGATCCTCTCTCACAAAAACAAGTTTAAACCATAAAACAAAGAATATTCCAAGTTTCATTGCTGTCTCATTTGACAAGTTGTTACAAAATATTTTAAATAAATAAAGGAGTTTGGATGGTCGGGAAGAGCTGGAAAGAGTTTTAAATCAACTTTAATGTTTCAAGACATCAAAATACTTTTCTTTATTTTAAAAAAATCATTTTATATACCTGATTTTGTTTACATGTTATTATACAAGTGTAATATAAAAATCACCTACATGTTCGTACCAAACTTTCAAACGAAAAAAATTATATGAATATTTAAAACCAATTATGGGTGAAGAAAACAGAAGATAACATTTGAAATACAGAGACACACAAATCATAAAACGTAACATTTTTTTGTCATTTTCTTTTTGTAAATTATTCCACAAAAAATGCATTAACATTATTTATCATCTTTTAAAATTATAATACACACTAGTAGATTGAATAACAAATCATGGTTTTAATTCGTATGTGTATACGGAACAATGTTAATCATATATTATTTTTATTATATCAGTACTCTTCCCAGCCCTTTACATTGCTTATATTTACAAGGTGAACATATGTTATCACCCCTGGCACAAATCAAATTCCTTAAAATTCAGGCATAAAGCATATATTTATAGAAAATGTTAAGGACTGATGTTAAATAATTAAAAATGGCACGTTTTAATTGAGAAAAATATCTATTATATTGATAATGCAAAAATATAACAAATATTTTTTAACAAAAACTCACTAATTTTATAGCCTGAACAAAATCATGTACCTATGGAAGGAAATAATTTTCTTTCCCGATGTTCGTAGGGACTGTCAGCTACCTAAGAACTATAATCTATAGCTTTTCCATTAACTGATCGTACTCCAATTGAGGATATAATCAGGTTCACCTGTGATTCCTCTGATGATTTACTTCGTGAAATTTCCAGTTAATGGGTTATGTTCCCAATTTGGTCGATGGTGAAGAACTTGACAATGAGAGTCAGAATGAGCAATGCCCATTTACACCGCAGTCCAAGAGAATACCGCTGAAACGCGAAGATAAGCTAATGAAAATTCATTATTAGTTAAAAATTTCAAAGAAACCACCGACCCCATAAATAATGTCATTCTCACCTTACAGAGGCAAACGAAGAAGATTTGTGATATTATATAAACCTAAAATCGATGTACAATGTTGGACACGTGGTGCATTTTGAGCCATAACATAATTTTGGTATTTGAAAATCGAAATCCATGTGAGAAATAGAAATCACTGATTCTTAAATTATAGACATGATATTTGAAATAGGGGAATAGGACTAAATCATATATACACTGGAATTAGGTGGGCGGCGATACGTGTCAATTATGTATTCTTAATTTCTTATCGTAATGGTCGTCATCATTATTTTCTCCCTCTATTTATTTACATAAAATTTTGCTTAAAAACATTGCTTCAATGGCACATTTGTTGTCCATGTCAGGAGAGTGGTTGGAAAAATAAGACTATGCCATATATCTAATTTGTATATCGAATGCCATCACAATATGCAAAGCTGACTAACTATTTCGGTCCCATTCGATTAGTCAGCCTGTCATTTGTCACTTCGCACTGACCCACAGAACCCTTCCAATATTTTTTTATTATTCTAATGGTAAGTCTATCATTGGTTTAATTTATTTTTAAAAAACTATTGTTTATATTTTCATCTAAAATTAAATTAATTTAAATGATCCAAACTTATTATAACTTGTTCACATACTTGAGTCAAGCATTTTTAAAATAGAAATCATTAGTTATTGTCCAAATTTCTTGGGAACTTTCGTTTACCAAGGATAAAATAGCTAATCCGGATATACATCCTGTTCAGTGTGTTAGGAAAACCAGCAAGTTAGCAAGCGCCTTAATATCTTTTATTCATCTTGAAAATATGAACACGTTACGTCATTAGCCTTTGTTTTTGGCTAATATTCTTAAACTACTGAAGGATCATATAATTAATGCAACAAATGATCACCCATGAGCCGAGCATAGTGGAATCAAATTTTCCATTCTTCTTTCCTTATCTCCCAATAAATTCTTCTGACATTCTCTCATAGATGTCAATATATTTCCCCAATGAGTTGTTTGTTTGTTCCGTAATCTAACGCATTTCTAAGGAGAGCAGAGCATACAATTGTTATGAAAGGACGTGGAGATGAGAAACGTAAACACGTATCTCTTTCAATTGTCAACAAGTCTACAGTTCAAATGTTTTAAGTCTCTAAGATCAGCCTACAAATGATTTGCAATCTTTTCGAGATTAGCCCCGTACAAGAGAAGAGTGTAATTTAGGGGCCGTCCGTGGATCGTATAAATGAAAATTTGACTAGTTAAAAAACTTGAACGTGGAACAAATTTATGGTCCATGATTATATCACTGATAATTTGATATGTTCAAAAATATGATCAATGAAATTAATTAGAATACTGTAAAAGACGAATCCACATCCTGTTGGTAATTTGAGGTAGCACCACCATTTTTTTGTTAAATTCAAACCATCTTCTAAGACACGAGTTACTATTAATTTCTCTACTCCACCTTAGAATAGAGAGCACTAGTACATTACAAGAACCATTTGCTTAGTGGTCATCACGCGGAATTATACAGTTTAGAAAAGAAAAATCGTAGAAATGATTATCACACTAAATTAGATAGAGGTGTAGAACTTAAAACAAGTGTTTTAACTTGCTACGTTATATGAGAGAGATTAACCAATAAAGTGCCAAGCACAACCAAATCTATAAAATGCTTAGTATTATCTCACTGTACGTAATAAAGTATATACAAGTTCAGTTTATGTATGATAAATAATCATACCATAACAGATTAAGAGATGATGACATCTCTGATAACCCAATCTGCCGCTAGAAAAGTTTGAAATGACGTCTCTCTATTCATTTACATAATATGGACGCATATGAAATATTGGGCCTTGTTTGGGCTGCCAGGATAGAACAGGTGCCCTGACCTAATAATAAAGAAAAAAAACAATCAAAAGTAGGCAAGACCATCATATTACTGATCCAATTCTTCATCTCTCTCTTCAAATATGGTCTCGAGCTTGGGGGTATTGGACGGTTTCCAAGGGTAAACCAGAAGCGAGGGTGCAACCTCAATCCAGGGCTTCATCGTATGCCCGAGATCTCTTGCCATCGCGATTTATTTGTGTGAATTCAATGCAACGAATGCTAGTGTTAGGCTTGATGGCTAACTTGGAGTTACGCAAGTTTTATTATTGTATATCGATCTCTTTGGCTCTCTCTGTCCTTGAATGAAACAGAGAGAGAAAGCTAAACGAATTGAGGGACTCTTACAAAGCTAACCTAAAAGTTTCTGCGGGAGATTTTCAATAAAAGCTATATCCAATGAATGAATCGGCAATAGGAAATAAGGGCTATATATATACACTCTTATAGCAGGGAATCACGGTTGTAAACCAAAGGCCAAGAGGAAACTACGGCGCAAATGGAGGCAAAGCATGGGCAGCGAGCAAATCACGAAACAATTTACTGGCCACCATACAGTGGTTTGTTTGGCGTGACCTTTTAAGATGGAAAGGAAAAAAGATTGAGCGGATGATGTTTTTTTACTCTATGGGGAAGCAAATAATAGTTCTGCAAAGAAGGCAGAGAGGAAAACAAGGAAGATAAACGGGGTTCACCCACCCTCAATTCATGGCTGTAATTTAACCAACTGAATTAATTTGCTACAATTGAAAGGATACAATTAATTCGTGGTCATGAAGCACAATAGAGGAGGAAAAGAGAGAATTAGATTATAAAAAAAAATTTATACATTATTACCGGTGTTGTTGTTAACGATGATGAATGAAAGAAATTTTGTGAACTCATTGGATATTTACATGTATTTTTCATATTTACTCATAATACATGAAATTCAAGTACTCCTGTATAAAAACTAACCAAAGAAATTAAATCTTCCTTTTTTTCATTAAATTACATCAACAACTTCACCACTTCTCCTATCCTTTTTTCTAATAACATCCTTTCTTCTCCTTTTATCTATTTCAAAGCAAAGATAGCAGAGCTCTATAGTCCATATGGCCTTGTCAAACGAGGAGTCTAATTGTCTAAGGGAGATGGTCTCACATCCATGGATATTAATGAATTCACACGAAAATTCATCTTAAGAAATTGCTATCCCTTGTCTATTGCACAGACAGTCCACCTATTATCCCAACATTTCATACATCCGATCGCAGAAAATTGATTTTAATCAAAATTCAACAATGAAAAATCCACATCACAATACCAATCCAAGAAAGTATTTTATATCACGAGTCTGATTTTAATCAATAAATTTTTCTGATATGCGCCCAAGACCACACAATAAGAAATTAATAAAAAGTAACAATGCCCGACTCAACCTCTACACAACAGCACAAAAAGGGGGGCTACGTTATGCATTTACGTCATTGACAAATGATTTGATTGTTTAAAATCATATATGCTCCTGGATAAATAATTTATCTTCCTCAAAGATCTACACCGTTAAATTTATGTAGATGTTATAGGACTTGCATAATCAATAATATCCACATTAATCCAAAAATGGAAATTATTCTTGAAAAAATGATATATTCCTCCTATCCAGTGGGCAATGATAATACATGTAGGATAGGATACCAAGCCCAAACACCCCAGATACTAACATGGACGAGTTCAGTCCTACACCCATTTGAGTATCCTATTCTCCCCAAGCTAGGTAACCTTGGACTATAAAGCAGTGCTGCAATCCTGTACCTCAACCTCCACTTTGCTCTTCTAATGAATAGAACGTGCCATTATACTCAACAGCCACTGGCAATCCTTTGAATACTAACTACCCTAAAAGTCAATGAACAGCAAAGCACTGAATACAAACAGAAAAACAACAGAAGCAAAGGCACAAGAATGCATTCAAATTCAATGTACCGGCAAATGAAATATTTAAATTAAATAACATGTAATTTAAATTATATCATGTAATTCATATAACCAACCATATCCAGTGGGATAAGGCTTTTGCCGTTATTGTTGTTGTCTATGATCGGAGGCCAATATCTAACGCAACCTAGTTCGTAACATGTCAATCAAAAGACGACGCAGTTAAACGAAGATGCTCTCTGGCAAACCACGAAATGAAAAAAAATAGAAAGAAACAACAATATTATCTCTCAATTACTCAAAATATTAAACGAAAATTTGCAAAACTTCCAATAGTTTCCAAAATTCATGTAGAAATGTAGACAAATTTAAAAAAAAACACTAATAAAACAGAAGAAAAAATAGGCAAAACAGAAGAAGACCTCCTCAATCGTGAGGAATTTCAACGTCTCCGTCAGTGATCTCCTGTTGCAAGTCCTTAGGATCCTTTCCGTCAACTGTGCAACCAACAGACACGCAGGTACCAAGGATTTCCTTCACAGTGCCACTAAGGTCCTTAGCCATCGACCTATGCCTCATAACCTTAGCGATCTCGATCACGTCATCGAGGGATATGTTGCCACTGTGCTTGATGTTCTTCGTCTTCTTACGGTCCCGTTCTGGCTCCTTCAAGGCCTTGATCACCAGGGCTGCCGCAGACGGAACCACCGTCACCTTAGCCTGACGGTTCTGCACCGTCAGCTTCACCGTTACTCTCAAGCCCTTCCAATCCTTCGCAGTCTCCTTGGCAATGTCTTCTCCGATCTTCTTTGGGGATAGACCGAGCGGACCGATCTTCGGAGCGAGTGAACTCGCCGCGCCCACTTCGCCGCCGGTGACTCGGACGTAAACGTCGACGACCTGCGAGGGGTCAAACTTTGGCGGCATTGTCGCAGAATAGAACAACTAGGGTTTCACAGAAATGAAATGATAGTATAAAACAGAATTTATATTAGGCACTACTGCATTAGGGTTTTTGCCTGAAATGTCTATTTTAACACTGAGCTTAGTGAGCTAAGCTTGGATTTCATTACTGTTAATGAAGCGTCTTTTGGAGAAAAATGTGAGGGTGGAATCGTCTTTCATGCTTTTGGGCTTTTATTGGATTCAGCCAGTGAATGTCTCAGTATGGACCATTTAGGAATCTGCTTCGTTAAATGTTCATATTGATCTCCGGCCCGATGCGAACCTGATTGTGTGTTTCTATGGGCTCATGAGCATCTTCCTCTTTTTTCCACCAAGCGAAATAACAGGCTAAATTATTTTTTAAATCTTGACCAAAAATATTTATTTTTTCTTTCTAGTTTTTTATTGATTTTATTTTTTAAATTAAAAAAATTGTTCGCATATTTAAATAATTTATGATAAATTTATTACATGAAATTGTTTTAAATATTCAAAGTAAACAAAAATGTGAATTTGTAACAAATTAAAAAAGAACATGTGAGATTATCGTACATAATTTATATTTTGATTAAAAACTTATGCTTAAATCGGCATAATTTAAGCAAAATAAAAATTAAAAATATTTTATCTGATTCAGATTATTGAGATATTGAGTAAAAATGAGAAACTGAGTATTTTACATTAAAAAAACTGACAACTGAACTAAATTTTTATATTATTTTTAAAAAAATAGTTAGATAAAAAAAACCAAGACTACATGCACGTTATATTTAATAAAAAAAAACTAAAAATATAATTAAGGGTTTTTTAATTTTACTATTTATGATTGAATAAATATCGTCGTGACAACTTTATCGTTTTGAGAGATAAGAAAATAAATAAATAGTTATGAATCCACTGAATACATGCAGAATTTCTACGGTATCAAGTTTTCCGGTATGATTTCTGATTCGTGTGATGAAAGAGAACCAATATATATATATATATATATATATATATATATATATAAATTTAATATTCACTTTATAAGATAATAAAAAATATTAAATAATACTATATATATATATATAGTATTATTTAATATTTTTTATTATCTTATAAAGTGAATATTAAATTAAAACATATATATTTATTATTTAAAAAATATTAAAGTCAATGTAACTTATAAGCACAAAAAAAAAAAAAAAAACAACGACCTGATGAAGTAACAAGGTACATAAATATTTCCAGTAATGGACATTAACTAATTAACCACTAAAATTTACGACATTCGAGTATTCGTGGAGATTGATGCATTGCTGTGATAAAGATTCGTGTGGGTAAAGGATAAACATGGGGAGAGGGTTGGGGTCCATTTCAAGATTCAACAACTAAACAAGTGATAATAATAGAAGCACGCATTTATGTTTGCAAGTCATCGCCTATCTAGCTATAAATAGAGGCAAACTCACCAGCTAGCACGTTTTGATTGATAAAGAAATAATTAGATCCAGCTACCAACATGCTAATTAAGTACACATAACTATGTTTAATTAGTAAGGTATAGATAGCATATAGCAAAGGCTCTACCAGCTAGCTCCCAAACTTTAATCAATCGTATCATACCCCACATATCTTGTAATTTTTTGGCATGAAAAAGAAAGCCTATGCTCATAATATCTCTAGCTAGTGTTGAAACCATCGCGCTTCAAATTTTAGTTTACTAGCCTTTTTTCGTTCCATTTTATTTTCTACCTTGACAGAGACTAGCTCGTCAATTTAAAAGATGTACTATTAAAATAAATATAGTCTTCTTTTTAGAGGAATCTGTGTAATCTTTCCACTTGTCCGATGATGTACTCTGCACTATAATGATGTTTGTTTACCGAGATCTGTAGATTTGGATGTCTCTGTTTGTCTATAATACAGTTCCAACATACAATCCAGATACCAAAATCCATTGAGTTTGAGGATATAATATTGATTATTAACCTTTTGAAAGTTGATTTCCCTAGTGGCACGCAGAATAAAGGATGTGAACGTACAAAATAAGAACAACGAATCGTGAATTGTTAACAGGATATAAAACACCAATTAACTATGAGTAAAAGTGTGTTTGTTTGGCATTTCATGTTATTACAGAGGGAATTCATATAAATTCTACATTCACTAAGTGGCTTAGGCTCTTTGTTGTCTATCGTTTTTCTTGTCCAACGGAAAATAGAAGAGAAAAGTTATCCATTTCGATCCAGAGTTTGTTTGTGTAAATATTATACATCTGCGTGGCTATAATATTTTTAGGTGTCATCAATATATATACACACACACAATAATTTTTAAAAGAGAAAAGTGTGTTCACGTCTCTCTTAATTTTTATTTATAAAGAAACATAGTCAACTTTGGTTTTCTCGAACTTAACTTTTTTCTTACAAATGGATAAATAAACACAATAAATTTAAATTCATTTAATTTTTTTTTACGGAGTGTCAACAATTCATTCTACTTTAGAGTTAAATTACTAATGAAAAAGATATTTTGACCACTTTTTATCTTAAATATTGGTTACTCTTTCTTTTTTTTTTTGTTATACTTCATTTTTCAAACAGTATATTATTAAAAATCCAAATTTAGAAAAAATATAAAAGAAAAATAACAAACAAGACAAAATTTCATTTTTGTTTTAATCTTTTAGTCTATATTTCATTTTATTTGAATTAAAAATAATGAAAAATAATTGAAAAGGAGAAAAAGGTGATATGCGAATTTCGTTATTTGGTTTTTATATGAATTGTCAGTGCAATTTTATTTTTCATGTTATATATATTGTTTTTGGACAGTTAAGTGAGACATTCTCAATGCACTCGCCTGCAATTAAAAGTAAAGTAATGGATATGCCTTTAGAATAACGTTTAAAGGTAAATTTAGACAGCTATTTTAATTCATTGCGACGACTTGGGGAGCTAAAGTGGATGAGATGCGTTAAATTATAATTAATACGTGTATCATTTGGCATATGGCATATTTATTGATTTTTTTAATATGTTTAAAGATATATAATAAAAAATTAATAAATAGTTTTTTTTTAATTCAAGATTGCAGTATAAAAAAACTGCAAGTTGATATATTATACACAAGAATCCTCAAAATTAGGTCACAGATTAGAGCTGGCTTTAATTAAAGTCAAGTGTTAACTGTGTTTTTTATATGTTAGTTGATGATGACAACGAACTCAATTTGCAATATAGCTAGCTGCTAATCAAATGGCAAACAATACAGGGCGCGATAATCTTGCATGAATTGTATAAACCATTGTCATGCAAGATTAAGATTAATCATTAATCTTGCATGAAGTACAAAAATAAAAAACAAAAGATGCTTCGATCCTGTGTTTTAAATACTTCCACTGTGTTGATTGAGATCTCTGTTTGAACGGAACATAATATTATAGTGAATATTACAAATGTGCTCAAAATGTCTTTTTCTTTATAATAATAAAAAAAAAGCGTGATATACATTTGATGGATTTTTATGTTTTAAAGAAATATATATATTTGAAAGTTGAAATCACAACCACCACCACCATTAATCCTTGTATTTCCCCTGCAGAGTGCCACCCCGAAGCTCCGTAACCGTAATTAATGGCTGCGATCTAAGCCGAAAGGAAGCGCCTTTTATTAGAAAAAATTACAGAGTACTAATGTTAACTATTACTTTAATTTATATTTAATTATACTCATGAGTACCGTTTAATTATTTCATGCATTCTCAAACTATATGATTGAAACAGAAATAGAAAAATGAAAAAGAGAGTGGAAAGAAACGACAAAAGAAAAAAGAAGGGTAGGTGGCTCCATGAATCAAATTGACAATTGGCGAATGATTTTGAAGTTAGAAACGATAAACAGGGAAGATTATGGACTGTCGCATTTGAGAAGACAATTGATGTCCAGTTAGGACTCAGCTGGCAGGAAGAAACGCAAGGACTCTGTCTGTGCACTCCATCCAAGTGAGAGAGAGGGTCCTTCACGTGCCATCACACCCTCAGCACGTGCCATCTTTTATTGAACCCAATCCCAAAAATACTTTTCCAAACTCACCCATCCACTCCCTCCCACATTTCCAAGTAAATGCCGGGGCCTATTGGTAAATTCATCAGTACCTTATCCAAAATGCTTACGCAAGCAAAATCCATTTATTTTTATATTTTCAAAAAGCAACCCAACCTTTATAAAAGCACATCAAAGTACCCAAACCAAAACAGAGTATGAGAGTAATAAGAGGAAGCGAAAGAACTAAAGTTGACGAAAGTGACGAAGAGGAAGAACGAATCCACAAGTGACAGACTCTGAGTTATCGAATCAAAATCGAACTCGCGATTAGCATGGCGACAAACATTGGTAGACCAAACTACCGCTTTCTCCCAATCATCGACAGAGATTCACTCTCCGATTCCGCCTTCGAATTCGACGAATCTGACCTCTACAACTCTGCACGCGCTAACTCTCCCGAATTTCGCAAATCCGTTCGCGCCTCTCGATTCCATAATAACTCTTCTTCCTCCCGTGGCCGCGTCGGTGCTCCGGCGTCGCTGCCGGTCAACGTGCCGGACTGGTCAAAGATATTGGGCGACGAGTACAGACAGAGCCGGAGGAGGAACTACGACGACGACGAAGCAGCGAGCGATGAAGAAGATGGAGTTGGGAGAGTGCCTCCGCACGAGTTTCTCGCCAAGACGAGAATTGCTTCCTTCTCCGTGCATGAAGGAGTTGGGAGGACTCTCAAAGGACGCGATCTCAGTAGAGTTCGAAACGCGATTTGGGCCAAAACCGGCTTCCAAGACTAGACACGCACCCTAGGACCGTAGTTTAATTGTTACTAATTTACTATTACGAAATGAGATTTATTGGCAGATCTTTTATAGATTTTCCATTTTGCGGACTATTATTTTTGTTTTCGGATCATCACCTATGTAACAATTAGATCGGAATATGAGATTTTAATTCGCATAGAGAGAGGTTTCTTCTTAATAATTTATCATCGTTCCTTATCCAACTACATGTTTTTTTTATAACAAAATTCAGATACAATACCATGAGTACTATTAATATTGTTTTTTCATTGGAACTGAGGTTTCATCTGTTAACATATATAATAAAAGTCACATTAAAAACAAAATGATAGGCTAAATTTAATTAAAGAATATTACTTATGATATTTTCCTCTCTTTTTTTTTTCAAATTCTGTGGTGATCAAAATCAGAATGGTGAAATGGTAACGGTGGGCCCGTTGTAGTAGTAGCGGACTTGCAGCTGTTAAATGATTGGGGGGGTTTGGGACCAAAAGCAAAGCTTGTGGCTATCTACCACAATTGATAAAGACCCCGTAACTAATCAAAACACTGAAAACAGCATTTTAGGTTGAAATTTGCTCATTAATTTTGTGATGGAGCAAAATATAAATGTATAATTAAAAAGTAGGACCCGTTCCTTCCTCTGGCACTCGATTTATATTGAATTTTGGGAAGTGGGGCCAAACAGGTCGCTAGATGCTTTCTAATTTAATATTTGTCAAACCTGACCAAACGTTGAATAACTGCTTTTTTTATGATCGTCGATTAACTATTGAAATGGATTTTTGTATAAAATCTAACGTTTATATTGTTTGTGTAAGACTCGCTAGAATAACTGCAGTGTGGAAAAATTGAAGTCTTCAAGAGCATGTCGCATTAATCAAACTTCAATTTCAAATGGGGCCAGATGTCCAATTTAAATGACAATTTATCTGTATTTTTCGTGTCCTTTCTTTTTCAATCGATATTAAAGTTATTTGCAATAATTTATTGATTGAGGATTAGGTGGGGTTGCGCGTGGAGAGGATGGTCCGGTGGAATGGTTAATGTTGACAGATAATAGAGACAATGTTAAAAATCTCTGTAATTCTATGTGAAGTTTTCCAAGTTTTTTAAACACAACACTTAAATTTTTGTGTCCAATAAATAATAAATAGAAGTTTCCCAAGTTTTTTAAACAGTTAATGATAGGGCTGATTAAACGGATTACTACTCATGACAGGTAGCGAGCTTCAGCAAATTTAGCTGAAAAATCTAATATAAATTTGACTAAACCTATATAAACTTAATCAGATAAGAAAAAAAGTCTGAATTTAATTCAAGTCAGCTTGACCATTTTACTAATAATTTATTTTGTATTTTTTAATTACAATAGCAATATTTTTTTTTTGTCAACGACATGCAATTTTTCAAGTGTATTCAAACTTGACCAGATATGTATTAAGTGTTTCACATTTTTGTCTTTTTTTGTGTGTGTGTTTTCAAACAAGAATAGTAACAGATTCCTTTCTATTTTTCCAATAAAAAAGTATATTAAATTAGTTATAACTACGGATTAAAAATAATTAGCAACATAATATAGTATCGAGTTTAAATTTTTAATTATTAATTTTCCTAATGATACTAAAAAGCCTAAATCTTCCCTCAGATGTATTTCTAATGTGATAAAGATCGGTTAATAACGAATATTTTATGCAAATAGTGCAATGAAAATTTTTAATTGTAAAATTGATCCCTTGGCATAATTAATGTGTAACTTTTGTTTTCTAATATTGTTTTCTCAATTTTAATGTATTTTTTTAATTGCTGAAACCAAAATATTTTTCCAAGTTTATGTATTTAAAATTATTAAAAAAACCTCATTTCTCATTAAGTGATTAGGGATCTAAGACACACTAGATAAGAAAACATTTGAATAGATTGTAATTTTAAAAAAATAAGATCGATGGGATTTTTAAAAAATATAAAAAGCGAAGTTAAAGTTCATAAATGTTTTTTAAATTTGAATAAGATATCGTGTTTTGATCAATGAACGTTGAAGAAAAATATATAAAACAATTAATTTGATTAATCTCATAAAATTTTACGAAATATATAAATTTTGAAACATTTTAAAAGATAACAGAGTCTAACAGAAATATTTGATAACAACAATAAATAAAAGTAAGATTTTGAATTAAAGTGAAAGTTTATTGAAGATTTTAAATCATACACAAATTATAATGAAAAGATAAAAAGATAATCAAGTTCAATCTTGTTAAGTACCCTATCTATGCCCTTTTAAAAGTCCTCTAAGCAACGTCCATTCTAATTCGTCAAAAAAACAACGGATAGGAAGATCTACACAGACTTCAAAATCAAACTAAATCAACGTAAACCGTACAAATCAAACTTAAAAACAAATAAATCATTTTTCTGATCAGATTGTATCATATTTTAGACTTAATTTAAAACAAACTTATATTACGTGTCATGCTTATTTGTGGTATAATTTGTATGTTTTATATGAAAAATGAATTTTAGTAAAAAAATATAAGATTTGTACGTTGCAATGTTAGATTATGTAATGTGACGATGTCATTTAATAATATTTTTCTCCTTCTTGTGAAACAGTATATGTGTTAATGTAATATTTTAAACAATATTAATAAAAGAAAATAAAAATAAAAGAATAATAAGCCAAATCATCCAATAGAATGCAAACTTATTTAAATAGATTGAATTGTATTTAATATTTATCGAAATTATTTAAATTGAAGTTATATATATATATATATATATATATATATATATATATATATATAGGAAAGAATGTAAGTTTTAAAAACTCTTCCAATCTCTTATTTAACTTAAATTTAATTACTAATGAAATAATAAATTATAAATCATTAAATTTAAGTTAAATAAAAAATTTAAATTATATATATATAATCAAACGACATTTTATTTATCTTTTTGTTTTGATCAACGAGGACATTTCACTTCGAATCAATCCAAAAGGAAACCGCGAGCACCTTTCTTATACGAGTGACGCATTGCAGGCTTGGGCCAAGGTGAACGTGTTAGCCCGGCCCATAGATCCCAGTTCGTGGCGGGTTGCACACTGGACGCATCTACTCTGTTTCAGACTCCGCCAAAGCAACAAGCACCAGCAACTCTTTCTCTCCGTCTCTCTCTACACGATTGAATTGCAATGAGTGAGATGAGTTCATCAGACATGCACTGTCACTCCGATCACGATCCTAACCCTCCCATCCAACTCAACTTGCCTCCCCTCTCGCCGAGCCTCTTCGATGCCGAACCTTCCCAGCACCAACAACCCAATGGATCCGCAACCCGACCCTCCTCCGATCCTTCCAGCCCTAGCAGCAGCGGTTACGCCGGCGAAAGAGGAAGCAGCACCGCCACAAGTGTCTCCCAGACTGAAGAGGTCCTTCACCACGAAATTGAAGAGATGACCATCCATGATTCCCAACCTGATTCTCACGCCTCGTGGCTTCCGGGAAAACGACATGTCGACGAGGTATATATGTTTATTGCACGATTCCTTTCATTTTCTCACTAATTAAACTCTGTTCCGTTCAATCGCTGTTGTGAAATGAACATCTCGCCAGTGATTTAATGATTACGGTGTCAGGTTGAATTATGGCCATTGCAATTCATCTCGTGCTAATGTAAATGCGTGTTATTAATATGTAATCTCATCTGTGGTATAGGATTTTTCGGGTTTCATTTTCATTCTTCATTTGCGGTTTATTTTGAGCATTTGAAAACCTAAATTTGGATTTGTTCATGCAGCTACTGCTTATTTCGTACTCCTTCTTGCCTTGGTTTCACTCACTGTGACGAAGTAGTGTTTAATGAATGATTTTAAAATTCTATCGCTGATTTAGAAGAGAAGAGCAATAAATTCAAAACAGTTTGTTCCTTATATTTCATTGACGGAGATTAAACGCTGCAATATGCAGTTTATTCCACAAACATCTCCGTTACTAAATTTAAAATAATTCAACTTTCTGTGCCGAGGATTTGCAATTACATTTGTGGTCGCTGTTGCAGCTAATGCGACTGTAGATATTGCAATCATTGTGACATGTACTGGAGCCATCTTAGTACCAACTTATTTTATGTTTTCATATATGATAACCTTTATTTTTTATGATGTACGAACACCCCTCTTGCTTGATTTGAGGTGTTAGAGTGTTGAACATTGTACGACACCTTTCATATTAGTTCAGGCACGGTAGTCACTCCTCGTTAGATATTCAATTATAAATTTATTTATTTTTTAATCGTTTCGGACACCTAAGCCAACACTTTTATATGGCTTGAACACTTGACTCATATAGATAAACACTTCAAGAACACCACTATATATAGTGGCGTCTTTACATTTTTTACATTAGTTGTGATGGAGTCTATGTTTCTTAGGCCATTGTCATCCTAAAATTCTTCTAACATTTCATAATTTTCATCAAATCTACTAAATAAAGAGTGAAAGAATGAAGAATAAAATGCGTGAGGACTCTAATGTCTATTGCTGTATGATGTGACACTTTGCCTCATTATGTTGCGGTGTCACATTGTAGAATTTTTGGTGACTTATAAAAACAGATGAAAATTGCAGTGTGACACAGTTGTGGACGACACTGCCGCATTTGCAATTTTGCAGCTGCATCATGTGACGTGGTCCACAATTTGAAATGCTATGCGATAATGTAGAATTACAAATGTGCAATTGTGGCCTGGGAGGGTGCATACGAGTATTTTATCTCTTACTTGGGGTTCTTGTTGCAAGGTTCAATTAAATGCTTGAGTAGAAATAAAAATAATAAGAAATTGATAGGAAATTGGGAAACAAGGGCTGTGTCTTAGATTTAATGGTGAATAAATTTGTTTGGTTTCAAGCATTAAATTTTGAATTCCAATAAACTATTATAGATATTGAGTTACTTGGCAATTCTAGTTAATGCTTTAGCTTTGCTGATATAAACATCCATTTTTTAAATTCAAGCCTTATGAGGGCATTACTCTGAAGATACTTGTAAAGGCTATATTATCATATTCTGTTCGATTAATGAATAAAGTGCAGGATGATGCTTCCATTTCATGGAGGAAAAGGAAGAAGCATTATTTTGTTCTGAGTCATTCTGGCAAACCCATATATTCTAGGTTAGTGTTTGTCAACTCCTCACATAAGCTTCCCTCAATTCCTTTTCATATCTCTTGCTAGGATTGCTACCTTAAACTTCATGCCCCATTCCT